GTACCGTCACATTCTGCAATTCATGAAGATTCTGCTTTAGTTATTGATTCATTCTGTAACATATATTTGACTAAACTAACTGTATCTTCTGACTCAGATGAATCAACTTTCTTTTCTATGCAGCAAATCTATTTGACTACCCAGGTCAAGACAACACGGTTAAAGAACGCGTTCATATGTTACGAACGCATTTTTTTATACCGTTCTATTCAGATTCTTGTTGACGTGCGACGTAATCGCAAACGCTGAATTTGATGGTCTATATATACTGGCATTCTAGCTGATTTCGCAAAGAGCACGTTTACTTTCGTATATAAAGGTTTTTTACAGTTTCTGAAGTACACATTCACGCGAAAAATAAGAAGATAGTTAAATAAAGAAGATCTCTTTAACTATCTTATTTTTTGCGTAAATGCGTACCTCAGAAACTAAAAAATCTTTATATACGAAAGTAAACGTGCTCTTTGCGAAATCAGCTAGAATGCCGGTATATATAGACCATCAAATTCAGCGTTTGTGATTACATCGAACGTCATGAAGAATCTAAATCGAAAGAGATAACAAAACGTAAAAGTTCACAAATAAAAAAACTATTTCATAAAAGTATATAAGCAAGCTTACGTGAATTAAAAAAACTTTTTGAATGAAATAAAAACTCCTTTTCTAAATGCGTTGTCCATATCTTAAGTAGTATCTTCTTTTCAAATCACGATTTATATGAAACCAGTTATAATAAAAATATTGCAAGACGAAATTTAGAAATAAAAATTACAATATGTCTGAAACAGACTAACACATAAATCATCAATACCTAGTATATGTGCATCAATTGATGTATTCATTATATAAACTGAAAAATAAGTTCATGTCATCTAAAAAAATAACTTGTATAAATTGCCAATTAATGTACAAAAATAAAATTAAAAAAAATTATTATAAGCATCTACGGACGTAATAAACATTATGCTTACTCAAAAAAAAAAATAAAAAGAATAATTATCTAAAATAATTGTTGATCAAAGATATTTTATAATTTCTATTTCTTCCCAATAGTTAAAACTTAAAAATAAAAATACAAAGTTATTTTATATTTTAGTGAAGAACTGCTAGTTTTCATACGCTCGTCCGTTTAGAACGCGTTCTTTAACAGTCCGTCTGGACTTGGGTATGTCTGCAGATCAGTTACACCGCGGGACTCACACCCTTTGGTGTATCCTGTCCATTAAACCAAATACTACAAAGAGTATCGTCAATCGGCACCAGTGCTGGCATTCATCGCATATTTAAAAATATCCGACTCATTGTATTAGTCAACAAATTTATCATAACAAATTAAATAGAAAATTCATAATTGTGGATAAGTTAAGAATTTGAAAAATGACGACTATTGATCTACTGTCTAATGAAACGATTGTACTTATTTTTCAATGGTTATTTATAAATGCATTGTGTAAACATTTTTCTCAAAATGAAGCAAATCAAGAGACTCATATGTATTTAGAACCAATATAATATCACTAATAATTTCTGCTGAAAATTTTACTCTCTATTTTATAAAAAATGATAGAGAGAGCTCTGTGTTGGTTGTCCTCGACGATGTCAGAATGTTATGCTATCACAAGAACTTGAAACTTTTCAACTCTTTGAATCCGTAGATCTGTGATAAAATGAAGTGACACCTTACTTGTGAATGTGCTGTAGCGGTCTGTCCTAGTCGTATCAACTTGTTCGGCTTAGGGCATGAGTTTCCTTATAATGCAGATAACGCTATTTTGTCATACCCAGAAAATAGAAAAAATAAAAATGATCACAATAAAAATATGATACAAAGATGTAATCATTTATGCATAATTTGTCTGTGAAATCATCGTTTTTATTGAAGAGATTGAGAGATGATCCGAATGAGTGCCTAAATGAATTCGTTTTAGTAATGATGCAATGAGTCATTCGCATCAGCTTAGAAATCAAATATAGAGACAGGGGCGGCGGAGCGTCTCAAAATTTGGTGAGGCTCAAGTCTTTCAAGCTGACACGCTCCACCATTTACGACCCTTGTTCAGGTGAGACCAGGCCTAGTAATTGTCCCAACTTTGATCGAAAGTCAAAATATCGACAGTAAAATACCTAAAGCAATAATATCGAATATAAAAATATCGAAAGAAAAAACGTCGAAATTGAGATGAAGAGTTCTAGATTTCACGTTGAGAAAAATTGAAAAACCAAGCAGCTAAATTCAAATTAAATATTTATTTGCTGAAGAAAAAAGAATGAAAGACAGATGAGAATATTTCGAAACATCAGTTTATCCATCTTAATAATGTTCTTATTGGACGCTCATAAATATTTTTCTTTTGCTACAAGTGAAGAAAAACCATGGAGGGCATCAGCTATCGCAATGAGACAATTATTATATCGACTATATAATATATTTGCCCACTCTGTAATGCTGTAGTTCGTTTATTTTTGTGCTTTAATTCACCAGAAGACCATTGAAATTCATTGTCCTGTACACGTTTTTATTACGTTTTCATAAAATTACGGATGCAATACATCTTGAGATAGATTTGAATTTGGCATCAAACCTTTGGGATTTGGATTTGAATGCTATGTTTGGATTTGAGCGTGAATTTCTGCGCCATGTTTGAATTCGGATTTAGATTTATAGTCTAGGTTTGAATATAGGTTTCAATTTTCTTTAGATTTGATCACCATTGCCCCAAATTCCAAAGGATTTGGTAAGATATGGTGTCATTAACAACAGTCTACTGTACTAGAGGTGGAATTGCATCAGAAACAGATTTTGGCATCTGAGTTCAAATCCAACTTTACACCCAAAAGAATTTGACATCAAATCACAAAAGCGTTTTGTTTTGATTTTCCCTTGCCTATAGTACAGTAGATTGTTGTTTTTAACACCGTATTTTATTATCATTTTGACTTCGACCCGCTGGAGACCAAACACAAGCCAATGCCCAAATCCGAACCACAAACTCAAATCCGAATCCAATCAAATTCAAACCTAATGATACCAATCTATACATTTGGATTTATTGCATTCGTACATAAAATTGATTAAATAATGACATCTTTATCCAACAGTTTCCAAAACAGCCTTTCTTGCAGAACTTAACTTTTTATTTTTATTCAGTTTTTTCGACATTTTTAATTTCGATATTTGTACTGTCGATATTCATACTTTTGATAGTTTTACTTTCTACATTCTAACTTCTACATTTTTAGGTTCGACATTTTAACTTTCGATACTTTCAATCAAAGTCGAATTTGCCTTAGTATTATTCTAAAATGATATGCAACTGATAAAATAAGTCTAAACTATTGTGCGAAAAAATGTCGGATTCTTAGTTTGGGTGAGGCTGAGCCTCCAGACGCCAATTTTGGGTGAGGCTCATGTCTCACCCAGCCTCCAGGTTCTGCCGCCTATGTATAGAGATTATACTTTCTATCTGTAACAGTTCAAAAGAATGATGCAGAACGATAAATAAAAAAGTAGATTTTTCACTAATGATGATATTCTATGATAGATGGCTTTAGTATCTTTAATGAAAATGCGTATAGCACACTTACATAAGCTATATTCAAACATGCTATAGAGTACACTAACACATATGAAAAGATGATCTGTTTATATTGTTTCGAAACATTGTTGCTAACTATATGAAAGAATTCAGTGTGACCACAATTCAATTCTATCTATTTTTTCTTTTCCAAATGAGAAAGACTATTTTATTCTAAAAAATTTCACTATTTTTCTGATAACAAATTTCATCATGAAACTTTTTACTCCCTTTGGAAAATCCACTTATTGTTATATCTCAATCACAATATGAATAGTGTCTTCTAGTTGACGGAAAAATATCTATTCTTTTTTCTCTGATGGCTCGTAAGAATATGATAGAGCACATTGTCTTGACGATTGCAGATGTAAAACAATTAGAGAAATTTTTGTCCCTACTGTAGTGAGATGTTGTTAAATGTCCACGTATCTATTTTTGATTTTTTAGATGTACTGAATAGCCAATCTTAGTGATGCAAGGTACAACGGGTCTACAAAGGAAAATTAATCACTAACTGCCTCTGATGTCGAGTGTTCAGACCTACGGGGAACACATAATTCTTACGATCTGAATGCTCCTTTGGTTCACTGTGAACGGATCTAGGCAACTTTTCACTGAAAAGAGTTTTTGGTTCTATGAATCATGAATATGTGCTGAAATGTGTTGTAGTATTTATCGAATTGTCAAAAAGTTTTATATCATCACTAAAAATCTACTCTTCATGAAATAGTAGCTAAATCTTGCGATATGGCAAAACTCGACTGAAAATAGTTAAATAATAGAGAAATGTAGTCATGTTTTTGTCATTTTTTTGCCATCTTGTTATATATATATTATAGACATGTATATAGTTATTCAAATACCTTATTTTTAATTTTTTCCTAATTTATGGCGATCTTCTTCCTTATAATGGAAACGGCTATAGGAATAACAGATTTCAGGAATAGCCTAAAGAATTCCTTATAGCATTTTGAATCCAATTTAGTTCAACAAATCATATTCAATCGTGACATGTACTTGTAAATATTTCGATCAAAATGACACTCATTCGTATTGCCAATATTGTCATAATATACTTCAAACGAAAAGACTGACCAATTGATCATTTTTGATTTTATTAAGTTCTTAACTTTTATCTTGATTACGAAATTCTTTTCATAATACTGAAATATTTCTGCGGAATTTAAATAGTCGTGGGAAGAACATTCTTTTTACTGTATAAGACTATGTTCAATGAAAGATTCTCATACTTTTTTGATAAAACATCACAAACAGAAAACTGCTTACGGATACCTAGCTGAGAACTATGTGTGTGACTGGCAGTAAATTAAAATGTTCAACTGTCATAAACATTGCTCTTTGATATTCTTCTTTTTTTTTGCAGCATCCAGTGAACTCTGCTTTGCTTCAGTAACAAACAAAACAATGTCATCATCGAATGCGACTATAGATCTTATTACATCATTGAATAATGCATCAAATATTCTCAATCGTTATTTACCCATTTTCATCTATATTTTTGGTATAGTTGGTAATCTTCTCAATGTTCTTGTTTTGAGTCAACGATCTCTTCGTTCAAATACATCTGCTATTTTCTTACTTGTTTCATCAATCGCTGGTCTCATTGTTATTCTTAGCGGTCTCACCAGTCGAATGATGTCTGGTTATACAACTGATCTAACATTGACGATCGGTTGGATTTGTAAGCTTCGCAATGTTATCCTATATAGTTCAAGAACAATCTACTTAAGTATGATTGCTTTAGCAGCTATTGATCGATGGTTATCATCTAGCATCCATCAACATTATCGACAAAAGAGTACTTTGAAAAATGCTTGGCGAAGTATGATTGCTATTCTAATTTATACATGCATTCTCAATAGTCCAATAATATACTGCTATGAAGCCAATCTAAATTGGGCTCTACGTCGATGTTATGGCTCAACATATACTTGTCGTCTCATAACAGATCTTATCTATGCATTTGGTACGACATTATTACCATTAGTATTGATGATCATCTTTGGTTTGCTGACCATAAAGAACATACGTTATGCACGTAGTCGAATACAAACGGTGGCTGAAAAAGTGATCAGTCTTGCAAATAAGAGTATTGCAACAAGCAAGAATGGGCAATTACGTGCAAGGAAAATAGATCAATATTTACTTAAAATGCTTCTGATTCAAGTCACTCTGTTAGTTTTGTTGACATGTCCTCATGCTATACAAAAAGTATATTCATCATTTGCATCGAACCCACCACCTCAATCATTACAAAGCGCTATTGAAACATTTATCCTTAATCTCTTCACACTTTTCACATTTATCGCCAGTGGAATGCCTTTTTATATTTATACATTAAGTGGTGGCAGTGTATTTCGCAATGCACTTCTCAATCTACTCAAAACATGTGCCCAAAAGATCCTATGTCATTGATCTTTGAAAGCTTTTTAACTTTCCAAATAAACTACCCTATTATCAAGTCAATTGTTAATACAATCTTGTGCAGTGAAAAAGAAGATAGCATATCAACGATCAACAAAATAAATCAACAAAATATCGAAACTATCTTTCAAGCAATTTAAGAGATTTCATTTGCAAATACCCAACTTCCTCTTAAATAAATTTAATCGTACAGCAGACACGGTAAATAAACGAAACAGCTATATACAAAATATCACATCATAGAATGGTGTCTCAAACTATATATAGATTTTTTTTCTGTAATTTCATCTTTTCTTGATGTATTTACTTGTGTTATATGTTATCTTTCTTTATCACTTTGTAACAAATATTTCTACCTTATTTAGTTTTAATACTCTTTGTTCTTTTGTTGTATCTCATACTCTTACGAACTAGCGATTAAGACCTTTTCAAATAGAAAATGTTTGCGAATTAAGGTGTAGTACAAAAAAAATAACAGTGATACGCCAACAAAATATTTTTAATGTATTATCTTATATAAACAAGCAACTTCATAATATTACTATGTATTGTCAACGACACTCTTTCTATATCATCTTGTTATGTCAAAACTCTATTTTTCTGCGGTACAATAAAATAAGTGAAAAAAATCGCAACTGTCATCAGGCAATATTATGTCGATTGTCGCCTTGACTACCTCAGATATGTTTGAGAATTACAAATTCGGATATAAACTTTATTTATTTAAAACGAGTTTGAAATTTTTAAAATAAATTAATTATTTATAAACAAACAATACTGTGGGGTGTTGATTTGAACAGTTGTAGATTACGTTAAAGATTTCTCAGTTCAAAGAGCTTTAATGTACCTATGATAAATCAATATTCAGACAAATGTTTTACAAAAGACATTGAGCAATAAAGTTGTTAAATATAAAATTATTTCAGACTCATTAATTAAGGATTTTATCTTGACAGTTCGACGTGTTTAAAGATCAATATAAACTATATTTTCAGAATACTTCTAAGCTATTAAGAATCAATGTTGATACAGAAATCTTCAATCTTTTAAATGTCAGCATCTAAATAAGACATATATTTATAGTTGAATGATGATTGCGATAATGTATAATCGAAAGTATTTCGACATTCGTTCACTTATCGGAAAAACTATTGATGATTGCTGATGCAATTCGATATATTCATTAATAAATACTCAAAGAACTCATAGTTGATATATTTTCTAGTATGGCTTGTGTCATTTTTTAACTTAAAGAAATATATCTAAATCAATTAAATTCTTGTAATGTATTAAATCTACAGTATTCTTGATGTAATCGTATTTTGATACGCAGAAAATGTAATTTAATAAGTTTATTAACATTAGTACGAAGAAATTGAAGGATCCATGTACTGTAGTCTTAAAAAATATAGAATAAATAACAATCGCTCATTTAAATATTCATATAAGGGAATACGTAAAAATGTACAGTAGATCATTCCAAATCTAAAAAAGCTTGTCAATCTAATTTTTCTCTAGAATTCAATGATAGATTATACATATCAAATTTAATGTCATTACATGATATAAATTCTTTCATAAACAAAAACTAATGCACGATGATGAATGAGAATTAGATGATGACTTGTGAACAAAATCAATTCAAACCAAATCGGCATTAATGTTCATTGATCATTCATAAAACAGTAAGTAAATAAAAATTTACATACATATATTGAATACTAGTCTATTATGAGAGGCAACTGAAAGTAAAATAAGGTCGTATTCGAAATGTTACGATTCTGTATAACGAATAATATCGTCGAATTATTTTCAACACAATCAACAGAATTCATACCAAAATGAAGGTTACGATCAGTACATCACTATTCATTTTATTAATAAACAAAGCTTAATAAATTATACTAATAATGTGTTTATTTCAAAATTTTTCGAGTTTTTCAGACTTTTCTCGTTTTCTTTTTCCAATCTAGTTTGAGTTATGATTCTATTGATGAAGTATGCACCAACCTTTCACATACAGTGTTTATTATCAAGCGAGATTTATGGTTGATTTTGAAAAAACCGACTGTCATAATAGCTTCTCGCTAAGCATTTATAAATTAGAAATAGTATCGGTTTGTGTTTTCTTTTGGCCCTGAACCGAGTCAACCTGTTTTTTTTTAAAGTTAGAACTGAATCAATCCCATCTCAGTTGTAAATGCATATTGATTTTTGGAACTTTTCTTGCCTAGTTATCAGTTCACTGTATGTAAAGTGTAAGATCAAAAATTAACAAAATAGTTGGAGAATGTTGGCTTGCAAGTATTTTAATTTTTACTTTGCCTCGAGTTTTCATTTCTGAACTATTTACTAGTTCATCGAATTCTACTCGTTTCAAAGTTTGGAGTGTGAATGCATGTATTCTACATTCATCCATATCTACATCGGCACATTCTATGCCCACACTCTCAATTACTATTCTATTCATAAAGGTGATGTTCGTATTGAAGTTGTGATTACTTATATTTTTGTTACAAATGAAATACATATCAAATCGATTTTCAATTTAAATGATGTAGTTTTATTGAATGTGATTATGTATGTTTTCTTTTCATAAATATAATGCAAGTTGATCAATTCGACATTAATATAATGTTATAAAAATGATGAAAAGTTGCATGAAAATAATACATTACTTGAATGTTTTTTTTATACAGACATATTATAGAAACAAGCGGAATAGTTCTATGAATATAATAAAGAGCAATGCTCAATTGGGATATAGAAATAAACGCTATGTTTTATAGGACATAATTAACATAATGAAACAAAGAATTTGAAATTAAATAATAATATGATTTTACTTTTATGAAAGAAATTTAAAAGATATCATTTATTAGATATGGAAGTGATAGAATTATTCAGGTGACTTATTGCTTTGCATGAATATAAATGAATAGTACGAATAAAGGGTGAGTGTTCTTTCGATTGGAAGAGAACAGAAAGAAAATTTATCAAGTCTCAGTCTATTTTTTTTCGGCTTGTGGATCAACACAATACATCATGCGAATGTTAATAATTTTGTCTTCGATCGTCTCTGTAATAAGAATAAAAGGTTTGCCGATTTATTATTTTATGCTAAGATAAGAATAATTAATTTATAGGTCAAATTACTGAAGCACCGAATTATTCTTGTAATCAAACTAATTTTTCAGTGAAATTTACACTATCTCGTTCATTTCATTCTGCATGGAATTTAATATCAGAATGTTCTTTACCACGATGCGATATTTTTTCGAACAGTAACACTTGTCGTTCATCATCTACACCTTGCTTTAACTATCGTACATTTACTAATAGAACCTACTGTGCACCAGGTATACTATGTTCGATTTTAGAACCATGTAACAACATAACATATGCATGTTCATCAAATGTGTCAGTGTGTATTATTACTTGTTGTTTACCAAAGGCAGTATGTCTACCATTGTCATGAACTTCTTTCTGTTTATTAGGTGATAACATAAAATTCTAAAACAGATAACATGTATTCAATTTGTTTGTTTGAATATAGGAATAGATAAGATAAACATCTAAGATCTTTCAGTGTATTCATAGTCGAAACTTTAAAATGAAACATAGGCTAGATATTAATCGTTGTGATCTAGTTACTTTTTGTTCACGTTCAGCACCATCCAATTGAAAAAGTTATCTAACAAAGAAAATATATGAATGAAAAAATAAGCTCTTTCTCATCTGTCAATCATTATTTAGAATGGTCAAAAACTGGTAAAATGACTAATACACGATATGGACATACTTCATCTGTATTACAAAATGGAAATGTTTTAGTTACTGGTGGATATGGCATTAGTACTAATCTAAATAGTGCTGAATTATATGATCCTTCAACAGAAATATGAGAAGCAACTGGTAGTATGCATCATGCACGACTTTGGCATACAGAAACAGTGCTAGAAAATGGAAAAGTATTAGTTACTGGTGGAATAAATAATGATACTTATTTGAACAGTGCTGAATTGCATGATCCATTGACAGGCACATGGACAATAACTAACAGTATGATTAATAGTAGACATTGGCATACAGCTTCGGTATTATTGAATGGAAAAGTTTTAGTTAGTGAAGGAACTGATATTTATTCAAGTAATACTGAATTGTATGATCCATCAATAGGAATTTGGACAGAAACTGATAATCTGAATGTTGTACGAGAGCATCATACAGCATCAGAATTATTAGATGGAAAAGTATTAGTTACTGGAGGAACTGCTATTTATTTAAGTAGTCCTCAATTGTATACTGAAGGAATAGCAATTCAGATGAAAACTGTTAGTGAAAATGATACACAAATAAGTAGCATACATCATAGTAGTATAGGTCTAAATAGTGCTGAACTATGATCCATCAAAAGGAACACGGGCTATAACTGGTAGCATGAATATTGGTCGATATGCACATTCAGCATTTTTATTAACAAACGGAAAAGTGCTAATTGCTGGAGGAATTCATAGTGGTACTATTTTGAATAGTGCTGAACTTTATGATCCATCTACAGAAACATGGAAAACAACTAGTAATATGCATAATGAACGATATGATCATAAAGCATCCGTGTTAAGAAATGGAAAAGTTTTAGTCACTGGTGGAGAAATCGATAAAAATTTATACAATGCTAAATTGTATGATCTATCAACTAGAATCTGGGCACAAACTGATAAAATGAACAATGGACGACTTTTGGCATACAGCATCTGTATTAAAAAATGAAAAAATATTAGTTACTGGTGGGCATAATCATAGTGTAACTCTAAATACTGCAGAATTATAATAATTATTACAAGCCGATGAACAATAAATTGCTGGTTTTTCACCCTTGTATCACGTATTTCCGACCTAAAGTGCTTTCTAAATCTGATCGCATTTTAGTAGAAAATGTTTGCTCGATTATCAACTTATAATATTTTATGCCTCTAGTGGATTCTTTTAAATATAATAAATCTCCAAACAAAATTTGCTTTTCATCGCGAGAGACTTTCTTGTTGATTATTGCAAAAAAATTTCGATATGAATGGGATAAAATTCTAAATAGATTTTCTCAATAGAAAGTACAATAACTCAGAATGAAATATATTTCTTTTCGTGTATCATGTGATTCTGAAAAATAGCATGCAAACACTTTCAACAACAAAAAAAAAATATAAAATGTCAGAATTAAGAAATATTTGTTGTCAAAATTAGATGATATCTACATATTCAAATTTGGCTGAAGACTTTCGTCTTTCTTCTAGCTATTAGCAATTATGGAAATAGTCAGTCATTAATAAGCGAGTTTTTTGTAGAACTCGCATATATTTTGCAAAGAAAATGGTGAATACAAGTTTTACGTCGAAATTTTTTGACTTCTTGCTCCTTGTAGACCTTAGCAACTGAGCTTCAGAGTCAGTGGATACGAATAATCTCCTAGCAATTGACGACAACAGGCACTAGACTCCTTTATCATATTAACTTAGTAATAAAAAAAGGCGCTAAATGACAAAAGCAACAAAGCTTATAATTTTCTAACATATTTCATATCTTGATTGAAAATTAAATAAATGGAATATATTTCTGCATGTTTATCTTAAATAATACAGTTACAGATTTTTGCACTTATAAACAAGTATATGATCGATTGATATGCTACAGTCATCATTTAATCAACACAAAAATAACATGAACTAATCAAGTCCAAACTTTCAGAAATAATCACTATCAGTATTTTCTATGTATACCAAGTTAAATGATGATAGTGCTTTGAGATCTAGTGTACAAATAATTAATGTATACAACAAGCTTATTTATCAGTTAAATTTATGATTAGAATAAAAATAACATTAAAAGTAAATTATGAAAAATCGAAGAACATAAATAAAGAACGAATGATAATAAAACAAATGAAAAAATAATGCATGAAAAAAAAGCAAAAAGAATTCTGTTCAAAATGTCAAACTAAATAATTTAGATCGTTTCTCGAACGATCGACTATCCTTCAAAGACAATTATCAGATGTTAGAAAATGTCTCGTGTACGTATTTTATATTATCATTATTATAATAAAACTAGAGAATACATGTGTGTTCCACATTTGATTTTCATCGAAGCTATGCTAATAAACGTTTTTGACGAATTATCTTTTATTGTCATGATGATTTTGTGATATTTTGTAAATTTCTATTTGATAATTTTAGAACATATGTAGATCTATTTTGCCAGCTGCCATATGGTGACAGATAATTTATTAGTATTGTCTTGTACATTGAATTAAAGACGAGTGAGCAAGGTGTATATAATTTGTCAATATTACTATTCTTCAATGAGAAAGAAAAATTAGTACGCAATACATTAATCAGTATTTTCTTTCATTATCATTCAGCATGAAATGATTGTTTCTTTTTGGGAAAGAAAAAATAATTGTTAAGAATATTTCTACAATTTCACTTCATTAAGCATTAGAAATATTTTCTATTCAGTGACTCGTAATAATACATAAGCTTAATGTAAAATTAGGCATGTTCTATCGATTGATGATAGAAAAACAACAACAATATATATATATATATTGCTAATTCTATGGATTTTATTTTTATAATTGAAATTCACTCCTGCATTATTTTATTCTACTAATTGAAGAAAAAGAAAGATCTATAAAATAATATGAATAAAAGATTCGTAGAGTTTTCAATTAATTGTAAATGTAGATGATTTAGCTTGGTGGTGTAATACCAGGTACTGGAGGATAGTTTGGTTTATTTCTAAAAATAAGAATATATCTATTACCTATTAAAAGAGAAAAGAATAAACATACGAAAGAGATTGTGTATTTCCAAATCGTTCACCAGTATCCATTCCAAGTGCACCAGCTCCAATACCAAAACCAACACCACGAATACCAAATTTACGAGTATAGCATTGTTTACAATATAAATCACCATCATGTTCTGAAAGTGTTGTCACTTCTAATGCTTTTTTACAAAGTGCTAATTTTATAAAATAAAATGACAACTGAGATATATGGATATGTATTCTTTCGATTTATTTACCGCATTTAAAGCAAGTTTTATGCCATACTTTTCCAGCAGCTGGAATTGATTCAGCATGAAAAGCCGCATGACCACAACGAGGACAATGAGGAGTTTCTTGGTTTTTAAATGACATTCTATATAACAAATGAACATGATGTATACAATGTGCTAATCAAATACATTTCTCTTACTGTGATTGACTTGGTAATGAAACCCAAATACAACAGAATTTATGAATAGAAAAGAATTCCGATACAATCCTCAGAATTATATGTATATGTAGATATATATATAGATATGCGATGCTGTCTTTTTTTTTCTATTATTTACGTTTAATCTCGATGAAGAAAAAAAGTCATTAAGAATACATCACATCTAGATAAACAATGTAGGAAGAAGGTCATCCTTCATTTTTCTGAGAAGAATATTAGTCGTTTGTTCTTTTGCTATAGAGCTAATAATGTGTGATACGTAAAAGAAATAGTATCAATGAGAAAAAAAGCAAGAAATCTGTCAACATAAATTGATTTGACTGAAAAACGTAGGTCACCAATATTTTGTTATACATTGAAATGCATATTAACGAAGCCATACCAATCTTTGTTTATATGATATTATGTTAAGAATATTGTATTTGTATAAGCAATTCAATTATGTATATATCTATATAGATATATTGTTGCTTTGACAAATTGAGATGACATATATTATCAAAATCAGTTTCACTTTTGAAATTAGATCATCTTCTTTTTATTGAATTTTTCTTGTGTAATTGATTTGTAAAACATTATTGAAATAAAAACAGAATAAAATAAAAAAACAATATTCATTGTTGATTCAGATTTTCGTATGTTTAAAACTACAGAAATTTTTCTATAACTATTGAGTACATATATTACTATCAAGTTAATGTTTAAACTGAACTCTTTGTTAATATGTTACTTCAAAATGATATATTATTTAAATTAATGTTATTTATCATGACACATTAATGTAGTTAGTTGGTTCAAATATAGAATTTACTGATCGAAGATACGTCGGCTGAATTCTCTACAAGTTCTTCCACCAAAGGACTTGACCATCTAAGTCTTGTTTCTCACCACAGACTTCAGTTGTGTTACACCTACGCCACTATCTAAATCCTAGTTACTCCAATAATAAAAATGATATTAAATTAACCGATACAATAGTGAACAAATTGCAAGATGGCTATCGAATTATTATCTTATTACATTACCTATTTAGTTATTAATTGTCGATGAAGAATCATATTTCTACTTCTATATGTGTGATAAAGGAATGTCATAATGATACTAATAATAGATCTAGTATTTCTTAAAAATTACGTTATATTAAAAGTTTTCTATTTATGTACTGCAGATTAGGGCATAAATATCGAAACAAATTCAAAAATCAATTTCAATTGATTAGAAGACATGATAATACACACTTTATTGTGTGTTTCTAAGAAAAAATACAACTTTATATTTCCCAAAAACATGTAAACGCAAGAGTTTTGAGAATGAAAAAATCTTATTATAAAATATACAACCAACGATATCGTTAGACATAGTCGTTAGAAAGGTTTCCATTGAATATCAAAGAAACTTTATTAGAAAGTTTCTGTAAGCAAAGATCTTACTTGTCATTCCAGTATTAAGAAAATACTTAGTTTCTTAGGTAATTCTAAAATATTTTGAGATCTTAAAATTCTTCTTCTAAACTCAAAAACCAAATGCTATGTCTGAAGACATAATTTGTGTCTCGTTCACACAATTTTAAGAGAGGATTTTCTCTTTAAGAGATAAAATTTGAATAAAACTTTATGATACTTTTTTAATCATTTGCTGCACTTTATCAGCCTATTGTATGTTGCATGTAATAACTATTTACGGTATTTTCACATCATTACTAGAATATGTTTGTTAATTATCGATAAAAAGAAAAAGAAAAAGAAAAACAATTGTCATGATAAAGATAGAATAAAATTTAATGGAGGCTTTTTGTGAACTATATATTTACATGTGTCTATATAAATGTACAATTCAGTGTTTCATTTTAATACGTTTTAGATTTTCATTTATGTGGGTTATATTTGTTATATTTTGAAATTCTCATGTAAGCTGTCTCATTCAATGTGATTGTCAGTTTTTATTTTTATTACATTTCTATTCTGATAATCGGGTGAACAAATATGTATTATATTCAAATTTAATCTGAATGTGCTTGAGAATGATTCTGAAAATAACGTATATAATTAGAAGATATTTTACTTGCTCTTATCAATAAGGAAAGTTAAAACATCGTCCACAAACTTGTATATATATTATAGATCCTTACTTTTCTATTGTGTCCCCGAAAATATAAATATCATTGAATAAATCATTGAAACGATAAAAGACTATAATTTTGTCATAGAATCTTTGATTTCAATAGGCTATTATTAAACATGCAACAAAATGAATCATTGAAAATACCTATTATATATGATGGCATTTGTGTTTTTCCTCTAATCTGAAATTTCATTTTCAATAGAAATTGATAATGCACTAAGGATCTGTTTGGAAACTTACAGATATATATGTTTGAAACATTGATATTTATGAAAGTTCATAAGTGAATAACTGAACACATTCAATTGTAAACTATATTTCAAGTGATTGAGAAAAGCCGTTATGAACATTGTGGTGAATGTAACATTACATGATAATAAAGACAAGAAGTTTTGTATTCCGCATTTGAAGTAAAAGCTAATATAATGTTAAAGAATCAGACTTTGAACTGATTTTGTCATCATATTGTATGTGTTGCGACCTGTCTAATGATTTTTGTCTTTTGTACAAAAATATCTACACATACACTGATTATCTTTTATTTTAATAATCAAAGTTCATATACCTATGAGCAAACATTTCATAAAGTGATAGGTAATGCACAATTTTTGCAATCTTCTTGTTTGCTTTTTTTTCAGCATTTATACAATCATGTGCAAACATTTTCAACGAAGAAAAAAGTCATTGACACTCCATCATGGTTCAAAAAACAAAAATCTCATCAAGTTGAAGAGTGCCAAGATTTTGTAGGAAGACTTTTGAGTAAGAAATAAGATGTTAGTGAATGCTTGGTTAATTTTCGATCAATCTAATGGCATGCATGAATATCTTACTTTTTCAAAAAAAAAGAAATGACTTATCGGAAAGTATTTCCATCTAATTTAATATTGATTATTGTTATCGATATTGACTGTAGAAAATGTGTCTCAAAAACTGCGTAGTCTTTATTAACTTATAATATGAAAAGAAATTTGACGTAATTTTTTTTTCGCAGATAGATTCCCATTTGTAAAAGTTTGTGCACTAAAAATTTCTTTTTCTAATTTGTCTTGTTCATATGACAGTTGTTATTTGAAAGATTGAGTCCATTTGAAAAGTGTTTTTCATGAGAAACTCCTGTCATACAAAATTTCAAACTAACCTAATGATTGAAATCTTCAATATCTGTCGAGATAAGTTAAAATTCATCCTATATATTTTTGAAGAATGTCAGTTATATTGTTGTTCAAGTAATTATATAATAAAACAATGATACAAATAGTCTTATAAATGATTTTGAAAGTATTAGTTTGGTTGAATTGTTTTCAAATCCAGTCACAGAACTGTATGTATATTCAAAGAGTATTTATAATTATTACAATTCATTGTAGCAAATAAAAACGATTTTCGTACCTCAATGTCTTTGAATTATAGATGACATTAGTCGTTACTTTTAGAAAAAAAAATATTCATCATCAAATCGTTTGCAATGATGTATAAAATAAAAATATGTAATAAGATGTCAATTCTGAATATTTTTCTTTACCAATTAAAAAAAAGAAGAAACATGTGCTCTTTTCTTCTTAATCATTCGTGAGAATTGAATCATTCTTCAAATACTTGCATTATTACTCGTTTTCTTCTTATAAACATATTGCCACTTAACTCACAACAACAACAGAACAATAGTTGTTTTTTTTTGCTCTATAAACGATACCAAGGGAAAATGACAGATGAAGAAAATTGCTTCTTTGAAGGAATAGGTATTGATCAGGACCGTGTTGTTGATGATGAGCATTATGTGGTCAATGAACTTTGTTGTGCTATTTGTCAAGGCCTTTTATGGAAGCCAAGATCATGTGCTTCTTGTCAACATTTATTTTGTAATCAATGTATTCGAATATGGCTGAAGTTAAATCCAATTTCATGTCCCTTTCGTTGTTCTCCATATGAAGAAAAACGTGCACCACCACATATTCATTCTCTCTTGGGTCGTTTATCCATTCGTTGCCGTAACAGTTCATTTGGTTGTACAAAAATTCTATCCTACGATTTATTGGAACAACATGAAACTGAAGAATGTCAGTTTTCAACTAAACAATGCAACATATGTAGAAAATATATATTAATAAGTGAAATTGATCAACATCAAATGTTTTGCATGCCTACAACGATTCAATGTTCTATTTGCAAATGTCACGTAGACCGAACTGTATATCGACAACATACAATCAAATGTTGCATAGAAAGATTAGATCGCTTAATTGAACAGATGATGCCATCACCAGATGATTTTGAAATACCTGAGAACAATACATTTACTTTTCCACAGGAACTTGGCAATGCAACAGGATTCACTCAATTAAATAATGGATTACAACGATTTTTATCTCTGATGCCTAAAGTCAATCTGGTCGAACTCGATGCAGTTGTACAAGCTCGTCGGCAAAATTGTTCTGCTCGAATTTGGACTATGCTTCGCTTGATTCTGTTCAATAAATCACAAGCTGCTCAAATCGTTTTCATTCTTTTCTGGTTTGGCATTGGAAGTGTCATAGGCTTGTTGTTATGTCTTTGCTTATTCATACAACGGCAAGTTACAATTGCTATGTATCGATCATTTGCATTTATTATTTTCTTCAGCGGATTGTTAAGTTTTGGTCTTCCTGTTCTACTTGCATCTTTTAGCGATACATTAATTATTCTATTTACTATCGTCAGTTTGCTTTTATTGAGTTCGGCATCTCCAGAATTACAGTTAGATTATATGCAAATAGTGCAAAGTCAGAAAATATTATTAGTATTATACGTTATGATCATTCTTAGTTTCAAGCTATCTCTATTAATGATACGCTTTTATTGTAGCTGCATACCTTCATATATAACGGCAGGTTGTCTAGCTTGGATAACTATTTTTGTAACATTTCATGTTCGTCATTTTTCTATTGGTACAAGATAAATGAATGCATCAACAAACAATAGTATACGAGAAAGAGCAGATCCAACATATTCTTTAATTTTCGACTTAGTATTTCGTTTCAACTCTATAACCTTTTTATATATTGTTCAATAGACGAGATTTGATTTATTACTCAAATAAAATTTACTAAATATTAAAAATTAAGCACTGATTGTGGCTAACAGAAAATCTCACATTAACTGGAATATTTATTGCTATTGGCAAACAAATAAAATGTATGTCTTGTATAATCATTTTTATAAAACAGACAGTGACTCAGTGAATGTTGTTTTGTATAGGAATCGCTAACAACAATATTTCACCATCATTGTCATCGATTTGATTATTTCCGTATATTCTTGTTCATAGTTGACTCCTTATAGAATTTTGTATCAATACAAAGTCTATGAGAAAAAACGATGCATAGATTTTTTCTCGAAAAGATCTGTATAACTTATGAAATAATAAATATCAGAATTAATTTATATTTATCAAGGCGTAAAAGAAACCTTATCTTGATTTTTACCTTTAATATATTTTTATTTTTCGTCATATTTGGAAACATCGATGAAGAATGTCACTCATATATAGTATTAGAAGATAATATGCTTACATTTAATTACATCTTTCTTGATTATTACTTTTAGAATATCCAAACACGTTCCGATTCTCGATGTTTTAATATTCATTATCTAAATACTAGAATGCTTGTTTAATCTATCGATCATAATAAAAAGCAATGAATTTTTTTAAGGAACTTCTTTGCTTAATTCATACTGCAAACAAAAATTTGAAAAATAAAGACAGTTTTACAAAAACTCAAATAGTAGTAGGGAATTTATTAGCTATACAAAACATAGTAAAATATCAGGTATCTATTTACGTTCTCTTACTATTGCCAGAGTCAATCATCATACAATACAATGAAGTGATGTTAAAGTTCTGTTTCTAGTAGCCACTGACTTCACCAATTTTTGTTCAGCATGCATTAAAATCATTTCATGCATTGAGTAAAACCAGCATGCTTTTTCAAATGTATTCAGTGTTCGGAAGATAGTATTGTATAAACATATATGTGAACATTGAAATTGAAGAAAATATTAGAAAACAACTCATATAAATGATTCTAATGAATGGATTGATGTGAGTTATTCGCGTATTAACAGTTTAGTCTTCAAATTATTCTGTTATCTTGTTTCTCATGAATATTATCATCTTACTGCTTGTATACTGTACTAGGTAGTAGTGGAAGTTTTGTCGAGTATAAAAAGGTTAAAAAATACATTCTAACTTAAATTTAAATAGAGATAATAGAATTTCTGCTTTCTTCTCTGAGTTTCCGTTTAACTTGCAGAAAGACTTGAAAAGTTGTTAACTCTCTGTAAATGAAGTATAAGACATTGACGAAGAGACGAATGCATTTCGAAGTTTCCGACTCAGAAAAAACAAGATCTGAGAGACGAATCAATTATATTTACATTATTAGAATGACTCAGACTTATATTTTCATTGAAGCGATGGTGAAGTATTAGTATCATGTTACAGGATCTCTGATATTTCCTACTTTATGTAAGTAATTCGACAACTGTATCATCACATCGACAAATGTCCGATCAAATAAGAGGAAACTATGAATAGTAATTGTGACGAAAATCTTTTAGACTCTGGCTCTAATACGGGAATAGAGCCAAAGCAGATGTGGCTTTGATGTATTCCTGCCATGCCATTGCCATTTCAACGAGAGTACAAAACTAGAATAGGCTAAGATCATATTCATGATCAAACGGAGGTAAGAACAGCCTATACGAGGCTCTTCGTGATGCTTTTCATGAATTGCAGGCGTCATCCCCGAGTGAAACTGCTGAACCAATCGAATAACTTTTGGTACATATTTCGCACGACGAGCGTATCAAATCAGTATTATTAGAGCTTGAAATGCTGATCGAAATGCTTTGCATCACAAAGACAAGTCGAATACCAATATAGCAGGAAATGAATGGTGATGAGCAACAAATAATGGGTCACAATAGAAGCTTAGAATATAGTAGGTCGAATCCAAACATACTTCGTCTTACATTGATGAAAATGAATTCAACATATGGAAGACTTTTAACCAAAAATTTTGGAAACCAACCATTTTCTTACCTGACAATCTAAACACTTTGCTAGTTGTTTCGAGATTTTCTAACAGACACTGTATCCAATCCAAAATACTCTTCTCATTTCCTGCGTGACGTGCATTGAACTTCTGTTCTATACAAGACTTAAGAGTTGACTAAACTCACTAGCATTCTCGAATTTGGACTTAGTTTGGCTATTTTACTTCTTTTCCACTTCTACAACATGGATTGTGTGTACTCGTCGGATACAAACAAAAATAACAGAATTATTGAAATTATATTTCATTGTATTTCTTATCGTTGACTTGCTTCATTTATTATAACACTTCTGTTTTTGGTGTATACCTTCTAATACATCGGTAAGATGTCTAGCTTGAGTAGTTATGTTTTTTCAACATTTCGTATCTGATGTTATATATCTAATATTCAATCAAACTTACCGATGATGAATGATAGTTCTACGAAAGATAGAACATATTTTTAGTCTTTCAATTTTATGTAATAAATAATATAGCTGGTTATTTTTTTTTAATTTATAAAATTTGACAATGCATGTGATTGATTAAAGTTGTCTGATTTTAAGATAGAATGCTTGTTTATTATTAAAAAACTCATCCAGTTAACAGATAAATTTTACTTCAGCATGCATGCTTTGTTGATATTGTAGTTAAAGAAAAAAATTGAATCTTCTTCATTAAGCTTTTCATTGTTAAACATATAAATAAAAAATGATCAATCTTGCTCATATATCACAAATAAATAATCTATTAAGTTAGCTAGTGAGGTACGAATATTATTAAATCATGTAACGGAACTGTTTGTCACGAGCTTATCCTCATTCTATTCGAATAAATCGAGTTCAGGCTTAATAAACAGTTATCATTTCCAAAGAGAACAAAAAAGGATATTGAATTATTTCTACGTTCTGAAATACGTAAAGTTGAATTAAGAGAGATTATTTTATAAACATCCTTATACCTTATTTCTTTCTTTTATGAATTGTAAACAGTTTTATGTTATTAGAGAAAGTTTTGTTTGATGATGATGGAAAATGGATTCTACTCTAAAGACTGAGCACATGCTAGAATTAAAAGGAAAAATATAGTTTTCAAATCAAATAGCTAATATTGATCAAATCCGAGATTCTTGTCTGCTTTAATGTGTATGAATATTTCAGAAATATCAGTTAATCTATAATCGAAAAAAAAATGAAATTATATGATCCATGAACATTCTCAACATTTTCTCAACTTACATGCCAACTCTGAAAAAAAGCAAAGTCAGGTTCTACCCAGATTTGAACTGGGGTCGCTGGATTCAAAGTCCAAAGTGCTAACCGCTACACCATAGAACCACGTTAATCTATCTCAGTATTCTGTTCTCTATTGTGATAGTCTCCTTCAAAATAACAAAAAAGGATTGCAAAAATATGAAAAAGAAGAAAAATCAGGTTCTACCCAGATTTGAACTGGGGTCGCTGGATTCAAAGTCCAAAGTGCTAACCGCTACACCATAGAACCACGTTAATCCATCTCAGTATTCTGTTCTCGGTCTTGATAATCTTCTTCAAAGTAATACAAGAGATATGCTTAAATCTTCTAAAAAAAGTAAAGTCAGGTTCTACCCAGATTTGAACTGGGGTCGCTGGATTCAAAGTCCAAAGTGCTAACCGCTACACCATAGAACCTACATTGATGTCCCTTGATTGTCATCAAATAAAGTTGAAAACCAATACATGCTATTCGATAACGAACAAAATGGCAATCGTCATAGAAAAAAAATTCGCTTGTTCATGTTCTTTAGTTTTTATCAAAAAGATTTCGAAAGAAATCTCAATATGTTTAAAAATAGAAAGTAACATTTTATTCTTGTATGTAATGCGACATTTTTGAAATTTCAACAATTTTAATTGCATATATCTTAAGCACGGCAACATTACATTTTAATAGTTTTAAACGTAGCAATTCTTTCTGCTTCTTCTTTGATGGATGGTAAATATTTATGAAAATATTAAGTGCAAGATTTTGTTTTCTTTCCGTTTGCAGAGAAAAAAATACTCAACTTCTTTCGGTTGTTTAACTGGTGGAAAATTGAGTTCGATCAAAGAAATGAAGAAGTGTACTAATGAAAGGTTATCTATAATGATATTTTAAATTGAATTTCACATGCCATTTTTCAATTTAATAAAGTGAACAAAAAAAAAATTAAATTATTTAAACACATTTCAATCTAATTTCCAGTTTATTTGCTAACGAGATTTATTTTGAAGGTTGTTTCGAATGTTACTTTGTTGTATTTAAAATAAAATTCATTGAGGAAAAAAAAGTATAACTTTATCTTTTCAAACCATTGGATACTTCTTTTTTTCCTCAATAAAAATATATTGATTAACTTAATAGGATCTAATAAATTAAATTGTTTTCTTTGTTCTTTAAAATATATGATTATTATTGAACTTTTGTCAGTGCCTGACTTTTTTCTCTTCACTTGCTTTTTTTTTGTGTTAGCAGACCACCTGTATGAATTAAAAGCAAAAATTACTTGACACAACAAAGAAAAACTATATACTAATGTAATATAATTGATCAAGGTTTAATAGCAGATCGACATTAAATCGATTCGAGAAGCAAAAAAAATTCTCTTCTTGTTAATGCTAATGTAAAAGAATGAACAGAAAGCAAGGTGATTGTGCCACTTTATGCTTATACACTCTACAATAGACAAATGTAAATAAAAAAAGTCTGATTTTTCTCTCTCTCCTCCCATCACTCCGACACAAGTTCACCCACACATACAATCGACAGTGAACAGAGAATTATTCTTTTTTTTTTTCTAGTTATGTACGTGTCATTTAAACGAAGCCTTCCCTATTTGATGAACAACTGAGAATGACATAACAAATATAGACATAAATGAAGGTGACACTGAATAATTACGAATAACAACTGGAGGTAACAAAACAGGATTTCTTTTTCTCTTAAGTTGACATGATCATGTTTCTTTAACAAAATATTATTTGTAAGGTTCTTTTTTTTTCTGTTGTAGATGGCATTTTCATTATCAACTAAATCTATTGGAAAAGGATCACGATCTAATAGTACTATCCGTACAGCAATAGCACGTGATTATGATCGAAAAAAATTGGCAACAAAACTTGAAGTTAAACTTGAAAGAGATTATGATACACTTGAACGTAAAATGATGTCACGTGCTAAATGGAATCAACGTGCTGAAAATAATAATCTACGTTCAAATCCAACAACTAATCATAATAATAATCAAGATCGTTCAACAATATCTCTCGAACATTATATACAACGAGAAAAAATAAAACAAGAAAATATTATTAATGCAAAACGTATGGGTAATGAAAGAATTCGACGCTCTTCAGTAAACACTTTACCAAAAGTTTAAATTTTTATTCAAATAAAAATAGAAAAAAAATTCTGTTTTCTTTTTTTTTTTGATCAAGAAAAAGTCATGGATATTCATTCATTGTTTAATTACATGTAAAGTATTAGTAAAAGCAAAAACAAGAAGAAAATCATTTTTGAAAAAAAAAATCTATAAAATATCATAAAAAGAGTATTAAATATGGACGGAAACTATTGAATCAGATCATCAGCATTAATCACCAAAATCTAAAAGAAAAAAGACCAATAGTGAACTTTAATAAATATAATGCATAAATAAATTACATTTTAAATGAAAATTCAATGCAATACATATTGTATGTTTATTTTTCTTCGGATTCTAAAATAAAATTTCAACAGTTGTGAAGCGATTTGCTTCTTCTTATTAACAATTCTGTTTGAAAAATTCATATCAAACAATCAAATTAAAATGAAGAATTTTTAACATCATACTAACAACAAAAAAGTAATACATTTATGAACTTGTATCAATTGAGTAGGATTCAGAGATGAGATCAATTCGATATTTTAATCAGATTCGTTGTCGTTTAGAATGAAAAGCACACATCAATAATCCAATAATGCTTCTTTATCAACATATTAAACTCTATGACATAGTTATAAATAATATATATCTTTGAATTTTACATTAAAGCAACCTTCATTTACTTATGACGAATCGTTTTTATAAAATTTCAATTACAAGAATAGACGTACATTTGTAAATGAGCTGTTATAATTCATCATAGATTATGCAGAAGTTTATTAGGCTCTCATCAATGAAATATCTCGAAGGTGGAAATTCTTTGAAGTGATTCAAAGTTATCTTTTTTCTCTCACACTGTACCGGAAAAAAAATATCATTTCGTTTCATTGACGAATTTATTTCTTCATTGATAAACCATAAATAATTAAATCCTTCGTTTAGTTCTCATGTTTTAGCATGGTTAATAAATACCTATATTCGAAGAGTGAGAGTAAACTTTCCAATTATTGATTTCAAATTTCGATGACTTATGAATTTATATTTGAAGATATTTATCAAATTATTATACTTTTGACAGCATTAGAACAAATAATGATGCAGAAGGATGTTGCTAGAAAAGAATTGAAGCTTCTACTTCATTCTCAAAATTTTTTAAAAATGTTTTAAGCTTTTTAAAAAGATATTTGTCAAGAATAAAAAGCATCAACAAAATAATATCTTCTTTAAAATACAAGAATTATTTATTGAATAGATCGTCATATCAAAAATTTGTTGACATCAAACGTTTATTTTATGAAATTGAAAAAAATAATGTCAATTGAATCTGCTATTAGTAAAAATCAAAATCTATCATAATTGTTTTTTTTAACTATATTGTATTTCTTTTCCTATTGATATATAATTCATCATTTTAATTAACATTATGATTTCGAAGCAACATATATTGTATTGCTATATGGCAACTTTTTTAAACAAAATGTCCTTTAAATCATCTAACAAAAAGAATTCTATATCTCCACTGTATTTTAATTTAAGGATGTGGCTTTTTTTTCCTGATGATACAAGAAAGTTTCAAGTTTCTATTCATAGATAGATAACTTATTGACATTACTTGATAACTAGTAACGTATATTTTAGCACGGCATTTTCCTTTTTTTTCGAGGTATTGACATCATTAATCCACTATAAAAATGTAAAGATCTCCAAAAAGAAGAATGTTTTGATATATACCATTTTGTAATGCATTTTTCGATCAACCTTTTGGTAAAAATGTTTCGTGTCTAATTAAACAAATGATGACATTATAATCAAATTATTACTCTACAGAATAAGCATAATATGATGTTTTCCAATATCTTGATCCTCGTACGATCATCTGCGGAAGTAAGTCGAAATTATTTTCTCGCCAAAATTTTTAACAAACTCATGCTCTACAAAATGAGATATGTGAATAAGTTTTAAAATACATTAGTGTTTTTTTTTATTGGCTATCTATAAAAGGATTTTACTAGAAGTTAAATCTTATTGTCAGGGTTTTTTCAAAAAGTTTCTATACTAGAACATCTAAGAGGATCTTGTGAAGTTCTAGAGAAGTCAGATAGACTAGCAGAATTTCTAAGATTGCACATAAATCAATGGAAAAGTTAAAAAACTGGATATAAATTCAAAGTCGAACATTTATTCTTGAAAGACAATGTAAAATTTTCTCGTTTAAGTGTGTAATAATAGTTTTAAGCGATCTTATTAATCGTTTTCATGATTGATAAAAGCTTGGAATTATTATTTACTAGCAGAAAAATAAAAATAGCCTATTCGATTAAAATAGGTTGAAAATAAATCATTTTGTTTAATGTAGATGATTTCTGACACATCATGTATGCTAAATTTTAGTAAATTAGCAGTACTTATTAGTATTTCTGATTAATTTCGGCAAAATACATTATTAAGAAGGTAGTTTTACTCGTTGTGATTCGACAACGAAAAACAAGCTTTCGCTCAAAATGGAACTGAATATTGAAGCTTACATTTCGTTTTGTTAATCTTCTTCCTCTTCTCTTTCATAATTGTTGCCAGCTAATTGTTGTCGTAATTGACGAATTTGTTGATTTTTTTGTTCAATAATTCTTTTCATATTGATATATGTATTAGTTTGATTAAATTTCTTTTCCAATTCATTTTCAGCTAATAAAAGTGCTTGTTGAACATCTTTTAAACGTTTTTCATTTGATTCTAATTTTTGAGAAAATGTTTCTTCTTTATTATTAAATAAACGTGTACTTTCTGCTAACTGTTGATTTAAAAGTTCATCGTCTTGTTCATACTTTGATAAACGTTTTTTTAATTGTTCATTTAATAGCTGTAATTTTTGTATTTCAGTTTTAAGTAGAATAGTTGATTTTGTATCATTAATTGGATCCATAAGACTATCTATTTGATAAATAATAAAAATAAAAAATAAATTCTTATTGATGTTTTTATTTTTCTATCTCTTACTCATTTGTTTATTTCCTTTAGTTTTCACTGTATTTAAATGTTGTTGTTCATAATCACGTATAAGATCAATTAAACGACGATTTTCTAATTGATCAAAATTGGGATTTAATTTGAGAAACCATTGTTCAGCTTGTTGAAATAGTTGTTTTATTAAAAGAGCATTAACACGATATTGATGTGTTAATTCTTGTTCGAATTCTTTTTCTAATATGTCAATAAATTCATCAAGAAAATCATTTACTTCATTAACAGTCATCATTGCTTCATCTGATAGACGTTGATTTTTAAAATCATCAGCAGCAGCATGAAATGATCGAAGACCAACAGTTTTCTGTTCGAGAGAATAACGCATATAATGACGAATAATTTCTTCATGATGTTCATTAACACCAAGATCATTAGATGATGAAGCCATTGAACTGAAATAAGTCTTAACACAAAATATTAAAAACAAAATATACCGATGATATTTCAAAAGAAGTAATTAATTTAAAAGTTATTTCTTTAATGTTTACTCTCTATATCTATTCAACTTGTGCATTAAATAAATCACATATATATCAATTAGATTTTCGTCTTTTCATTATGCATAAATTTCTTTTATTATTGAATTTTCAATTTTAAGAGTGTTTATATGTCTTCATTTCTGCATCTGTTTATCAATAATAATACTGGTTGTAGCGTAAATCAAATCAACAATGGATAACTATTTTTTATTTTTGTGAAAGATGGCGTACGTATATTATTAACAACAATCTTTTAGTTTACATTAGGATTTAATACGATTAAGAGCATAAGTGACTGTTGAGGATTTAAAAGAACTTTGTCAATAATGAAGAACTTACTGAATTTTATTATACATCATCGTATTCTATACTTTCTTTTTCTGCCATTCATGATTCGACTATGTGAGAAAAGCAAGCTAACAATGTAATTTGTAAAATAGTTTCAAAATGTGATATGAGATCATCTTTTATTAATAACATCATATTTACTTATGCATTATTATAAAAAGAAAAAAAGTATCAATAAAAATACTGATGTTTTTTTCATTCATGTGAATTTTAATCAGATTTCATTGAATATTACACGATAAGATTTATATTTTTATGTTCAGTAATAAAATACCATCTATAACGTACGTGAGGTTAACATCGATGTTACTGGTTTTCTAATATAAAAACAATGATAACAACTTTTGAGAAATGATTCGTTTTAAATTTGTTCTGAGAAAATTTACACAACATGTTTCTAGACAAAGTAAAAATTTTTAATAAATTCATAATTACACTTAATTAAACGTGAAGAACACAAGTGTCAAGCAATAGAATTATTAAATGCAATACAAGCTAGAATCAAACAATATATAAACAGCTGAATCTGACTATATTTTGTTTTAGATATTGATTATTTACATGATTACATTGAGAAATTATCGCTGCTCATCTAATTACTACTGCTTGTGGTGAACTATTTGAATTAGACATAGTACTATTAAATAGTGAACAGAATTTCTGCAGTTTATAGAAACAGTCAACGATGTTGTCGCTTCAGTTTGCTAATGATCACTTACGTAGTTACCATAAAAAAAAAATTGTTATCAAAAGTTAGCGGTATTGTTAGCTACATCATTTCGATTTAATCTATATATGAGTGAATTCCAAAATTATTGTACCGTTTTGAGGAAAAAAACGAACGAAAAAAAAATTTCGATTTGAAAGCTGATAAGAAGTGTTTTTAGCTGTACCATATGAGAAGAGAAAAAGAATAAATTTTCCCGACTACCACTTTAAGTATGGCTCTGATATACGAAAATCATTGAAAAACCTATGAAAAATGCTTCAAGGCTACTGTATAGCTGTTATGTCAAAAAATTACTTAAATACGGGAGTTTTACAGGAGGCGTTGAAAATACTTCCGTTTATATATAGAAACAACTTTGCTTGAATCATTCGAATGTGATTGAGAGTCTGATTCAATAAAGCTAGATCATACAACTCTGATAATGTGTTATTTGTTATATACAATCACTGGATTTGTGTGTGTGAAATCTGAGAAATAAACTAGAGGGTACTTGCACGGGTTTTCATAGTTACTTAAACAGGAAATCAAGTAACTTGTAATGTATTTACATCAGCGTTAGTTATGAGGCAGTTATATACATAAAAATCTTAACTGATAGTTTCCCAAAGAATCTCGTCTGACAGTTCACTAAGAAATCTCGTGTGACATATTTATACTATTTTTTTTCTTTTTTATATGAAAGTCACGCTTTCTAATCGCCATATTTTCAACAATAGTTGATCACAACTAGCAGATAAAATGATAAAAATTTCAGCTCAATCTGCCTTAATTTACAAGAGTTAACACGATAAACAAAGTATCAAATCTCGTGTGACATTTAGTGTGACCACTGAATTTTCAATTTTTATTTTTTGTCGTTTTATTAACAAAAAATAGGACAACTTTCCAGTTTTCTTTGCCAGTTTTATTTCTCACTAATTTACTTTCGTTCAACACCAACCAGACCAATTTCTAATGTGTTGTTGCATGGCAAGGTCGTTTTTAAATCTCGTGTGACACAAAACTAAGGATTGAGGGTACATTTGATATTCAAAAAAAAGTGTAATGAGAACCATGATAGAAGAACCAACTGGTCTCATATCTGAAACTTGTACACTATCTACTATAAATATTGGAAACTTTCAAATTCAAATCATAAGAGAATCAATCGGTTATATGACATTTTTGTTCATTACACGTCAGTGAAAATCGAACTTTTGAACCTTGAGCATCCGATATCTCAAACTCTGTGCAAGATAAATTTGTGATTTTATGTGTGGTAGTGAGCACTAACTAGAGACGTCTAACCTGAAAAATTCATAAAGATTGGTTGAGAGGAACTGGAGTTGTTAAACTTTTACATCTCGGAAATCCAACGGTACAATAATTTTGCAATTCACTCATATATAAAGAAGAATGTCTGTTTGTTTGTTTGTTTGTTTGTTCGCGATTCACTCAGTCCCTGTAATAGCTAGCGTCACCAAACTTTCCACGATTCTTTTCTGGATCCTGGGAAAGGTCGACGTCCACTTTTTTCGAAAAAGAATCAATCATTCGCTTGCTACAGGCTGCCTATGTTACTGACCAATAGGATTGCAGCATTTCCAAATATTCAAGTAATTGGTAGCGAAGGCGGCCGAAGGCCATCTGAGCGCACATCTACTACAATTTACACGTTCCATCTATCTATATACCTGTATATATCTTAATCTATCTGAACTATCTGAATATCTTCTATTTGTACATGTAAAGAAGAGTACCTGTTGGTCCGTTTCCTCTTAGCCTTCTCTGCCCTCTTCCATCTGTTCCTTCTCTCCCTGGACACATACACTCTCCTTCGAACTGCAATTTTTGTCAATATTTCAGAAATTTAAAAATCTTTTCTTTCTTTGTTTTAATTGTGAGAGTTTTGACCCTCACTATCAATGTGAATATATGCATGTATAAACATCGGCAGGACATACAAAGGCAGGAAAAACTTGAAGGAATATGGACCCAGTCTGTAACAATTGAAGGTTTCAATGTAGAAAATTTAGGAAAAAATCAGATTAAAATCAGTTAAAATCATACGCTTTTAATCGATTTTTCATTGATTTTTAATGAAATAATCTAAAAAGCTGAATTTCCATTGACTATTTCACCTAATTTCGATTGTAATCGATTAAAAGTGATCACAGAACATCGATTTTAATTGATTTTTTTACCAACTTCTAATCAATTATGATCGATTTTTTTACCAAATTTTAATCGATTAGAATCGAAAATAGGTGAAATAATCGATGGAAATCCAGCTTTTTAGATTATTTGATTAAAAATCGATAAAAAGCGTATGATTTTACCCGATTTAATCAAAAATGATTTGATTTTTCTGTCAATTTTTTTACATGGGTTCCATATCGTATCATACTGAAAAATGTATGTATATGAATCGTATTCCTTGCTCAAAATGATGACGTATTTGTTATTATTTTTGCTGACTCAAATGATGATTCCATACGTAATCTATATATATACATACCATATGATTATATGATTATGTAGTCAGTTATGGTACATGCCTTGAATATTACTTGGTTTCTTTGGTATTTGTTGTGCATTGCCATGACGTATCATATTCCTTCTGTCGTGTAATATGCCGTTATACGAATTTTCAAATGATGTCATGGGATAGCGCAATCGAAATGTTTTCGTATTTTCTCTCGATATATATAGATATCTTTTTTCATTGTTGTTTATTAAAAAAACTATATAGTTTCATACAATATCTTCTAACGTTTCTACTTACCCCAGTAATATTACGAGATGCCACAAAAAAAGAAGTTCTTTGGGAAGAAGCACATCCGCTTCAAGAAGAGTGGCAGCCTCCCGAGCTGCTGAGACTCCAGAACAAACAAGTACTCGGCTTGGAGATCAACGCACAAGACAAGGGCTTCCAGAGCCGCTGAGACTCCAGAACAACGACAAACACGACGTGAGGAAGATCGAACAAGACGTTCCACTTCAAGAGCAGCACGTTGGACATTTATGGAGCGGGAAGCATTTCAATATGATCCAACCAAAAATTATGACAGTCATCCTCAACTTTATATTGGACGAATGACAGAGGTTTGCTCATATTGTGATGCACTGAAGTGGCCCGGAGAAGCACCAGGTATGTGTTGCTTTAATGGTAAGGTAAAGCTACCATCGCTTCGACTACCTCCTGAACCATTGGAATCATTAATGTCAGGAACAACTGCAACATCAAAGCATTTCTTGGAGAACATTCGAAAGTACAATTCATGCTTTCAAATGACGTCATTTGGTGCCACAAGCGAAGTGTGTGAGCCAGGTTTCATGCTCACTTTCAAAGTCCAAGGTCAAGTTTACCATCGTGTAGGATCTCTGTTACCGCCGACAAATGAAGAACCTAAATCTCTTCAAATTTATTTCATGGGAGATGAACAGCAAGAGGCAAGGCAACGTTGTAATAATATTCCAGGTACATGACAAGATATTGTTATGGATTTACAGCGAATGCTTCATGAGTATAACAGCTATGTCCGTATTTTCAAGTCTACTCTTCAGAAGATGCTTTCTGACGAATACAGAGTGGTCATCAGCGCAGACAAGAAGCCTGCTTGGGGGCATGCAAGACGCTTCAACAAACCTTCAACAAATGAAGTAGCAGTCGTCATCGTTGGTAACGAATTTGACAGGCGGGACATCATTTTGGAGAAGAAAAACAATCAGTTATAGAGAGTGGCAGAAACGCACAGGTCATATGACGCCTTGCAATATCCGCTTATCTTTTGGGAGGGAGAAGACGGGTATCATTTTCTTATTATGCAGACTGATCCGACGACAGGAATGCCTGTCGATCGCAACAAGGTTTCGGCCATGGACTTTTATGCTTACAGAATAATGATGCGAACTGGCGCTTTAAATCACATCTTAAGATGCCGTTAACTTTTCCATCAGTTTATCGTTGATGTGTACGCCAAGATTGAGAGTGAGCGACTATGGTTTATACGGCTTAACCAAAAGAAACTTAGAGTAGACGAATACATTCACTTAAGAGATGCAATAGCTAATGATGGCAACACCGATAACGTCGGTCAATTAGTGATACTACCATCTACATACACTGGAAGTCCACGCTACATGCACGAATATACACAAGATGCTATGACATACGTGAGAAACTATGGAAGACCTGATCTATTTGTGACATTCACCTGCAATCCGACATGGGAAGAAATTCAAGAAGAGCTGTTGGATGGTCAAATTCCGTCCGACCGTCATGATCTGTTGGCAAGAGTGTTCAGGCAAAAACTCATAAAATTAATGAATATTATTATCAAAAGCCATATATTCGGACCAGCACGATGTTGGATGTATTCTATTGAATGGCAAAAGAGAGGACTACCGCATGCTCATATATTGATATGGTTGAAGAGCAAAATTAAGTCAGATGAAATAGACAGCGTTATTAGTGCAGAACTACCAGATCGTCAACAAGATCCCTGTCTATTTGAGGTTATCGTAAAAAACAGGATTCATGGGCCTTGCGGTAGTATCAATCCTGAATCTTCGTGTACGAAAGATGGAAAATGTACCAAAAGGTATCCCAGACAACTTCTACATGATACACAAACGGGCGAAGATGGTTATCCACTCTACAGGAGGCGAAGTCCAGAGGATGGTGGTTTCAAAGCCAGAACTAAGGTGAAAATTGGCAACTCTATTCAAGAAATTGAAATCGATAACAAATGGGTTGTGCCATATTGCCCATTACTTTCTCGAATCTTTCAAGCTCATATTAATGTTGAGTATTGTAATTCGGTCAAGTCGATCAAATACATTTGCAAATACGTTAACAGGGGTAGTGATCAGGCGATGTTTGGCTTTGGAAAGGATGGAACAGCAATTGATGAAATTGAGCGATATCAGTTAGGACGATACATCAGCAGCAATGAAGCAGTTTGGCGAATCTTGTATTTTCCGATTCATGAACGGCATCCGACAGTAGTGCATCTGGCTGTTCACTTGGAAAATGGACAACGCATCTACTTCACGGAAGACAATTTACATGAAAGAATTAATAAACCGCCAAAGACGACGTTGACGGCATTTTTCTTACTGTGCCAGAAAGATGAATTTGCCAGAACACTGCTATATTGCGATGTTCCGAAATATTATACTTGGGATGCATCAGGAAAAGTTTTCAAACGTCGTGTTCAAGGAACGACTGTACCTGCTAATCCCAACATCAGAGCAACAGACGCTCTGGGTCGCGTCTACACTGTGCATCCAAATAATTTTGAATGCTTCTTCTTGCAACTTTTACTTCATACGATTAGAGGTCCAACTTCGTATGAAGCTCTAAGAGCTGTAAATGGTCGGATCTGTGCGAACTTTCGTGAGGCCTGTCAACTAATGGGCTTACTTGAGGATGATGCGCAATGGGACGCTACGATGGCCGAAGCAGCTACTGTTCAATCGCCTGCACGACTGAGAAATCTATTCGTCATTTTACTATTAACATGTGGTCCATCGAATCCGGGACAATTATGGGAATCCTACAAAGAAAGTTTAACCGAAGACATCCTCATACAAGCTCGCAGAGAGAATCCTGGAATAGTTTTAGATTATACACCCGATATGTTCAATCAAACATTGATTATTCTTGAAGATAAAGCTCTGGGAATGGCTGGCAAAGATCTCAAACAATTAGGTCTTCCAACTCCTCAAAGAACTCTTGGTGATTGATTGAGCAGAGAAATGCTCAGAGAGACGAGCTACGACTTGAACGAGTATATATCAGCAAATAAACCATTACTGTTACCAGATCAGAGGGCTGCTTATAATGCTATATTAGATCGGATCAATAGAAAAGCCGGTGGAATAATTTTTCTCGATGCACCAGGTGGAACAGGAAAAACATTTGTCATTAATCTACTCTTGGCTAAAATTCGACAGCAGTCTAAAATTGCAATTGCAGTGGCTTCTTCAGGAATTGCTGCTACGCTGCTTCACGGTGGTCTTACTGCTCATTTAACATTAAAGCTGCCTCTCAACCTTACACAATGTGAAGCTCCACTTTGTAATATTAGCAAAGGTGCTGAAGAAGCCAAAGTTTTACAAGAATGTAAACTTATTGTATGGGACGAATGTACAATGTCACATAGACAAGCATTAGAGGCTCTGGGTTGTACACTTCAAGATCTTCGTGGCAATGGGAAACTCATGGGTGGAGCTGTTTTGCTTCTAGCTGGTGATTTTTGTCAAACGTTGCCTGTCATCCAGAAAGGAACAATGGCTGATGAACTCAAAGCCTGCTTGAAAGCTTCATACGTCTGGAGACATGTTCATAAGCTGGAACTCAAAACCAACATGCGAGTACATTTACAGGGTGATGCAGCTGCTGGCCAATTTGCTCAACAACTACTTAGTCTTGGAGATGGAAAAATAGCTGCTGATCCGACCACTGGACTTATCACTATTCCAAATAATTTTTGTAATATAGTAGACTCAATAGAAACTCTGAAAACCTGTGTATTTCCAGATATTCGACGCTGTTTTAATGATCACAAATGGCTCTGTGAAAGTGCTATTCTTGCTCCGAAAAATGATAGTGTAAATGCTATTAACTTACAGATTCAACAACAGTTGCCTGGAGTAGACATTTCATACAAGTCAATTGATACAGTTGTGGACATTGACCAAGCAGTACAATATTCTACCGAATTTCTCAACTCGCTGGAACCTCCTGGAATGCCACCACACAGTCTGGTGCTCAAGGTTGGCTCTCCGATCATACTTCTAAGAAATTTGGATGCACCAAGACTCAGCAATGGTACAAGGCTTTGTGTGAAAAGCCTAATGCCCCATGTGATTGAAGCAACTATCTTGACAGGCTGCGCAAAAGGAGAAGATGTATTTATACCACGAATTCCCATGGTTCCTAATGATATGCCATTTGAGTTCAAGTGTCTTCAGTTTCCAGTGCGTCTTGCTTTTGCAATGTCTATCAATAAAGCTCAAGGTCGATCGCTTAAAGTTGCTGCTATTAATCTAGGAACTCCTTGCTTTTCCCATGGTCAGTTGTACGTAGCATGTTCAAGAGTAGGAACTGGAACGAATTTGTACGTTTTCTCTCCTGATGGTAAAACTCGAAATATTGTATATCAAACAGCTTTGCAATAAAAAATGTGTTTAACTGAACTGTCTTCTTTGAATAAAAATAGCTCATAAAAGACGAAAACATCGAAAAGCAACTTTGTTACATCAAAGATCGTTAACCAGAAAGAGATTACAGCGATATTGTTTTCTCTTTCGCGAGATACATACTATCAAACTATCTTGACTAATATTGGGTACTTCCGCTACTTTCCTAATAATTTTTTAATGTTGAATAAATATTTTCATCTTGCATCTATTTTGTAAACACAAAGAAGATCTTTTTAAATAGTTAGAGGTAAACGATTAACTATATACTAGTTTGATATCGAGGAAAATCTGCGGATTAACATTTTTTTTTAGTTCAATTTTGGTAACTTAGTTTTTAATGGTTTCGGTACCGATCTCAGTCATGATGATTTTATTTTTTTGGATCCTAAATGAAGTCCTAGTGCCAGCTTGAAAAAAACTATTTCAGAACTTATTTGCATTAAAGCTGAAAATATTCGTATATTGATTAACTCAGTCGAGAAATATTACTTTTCTATCTGGTCATCTCTGCTAGATTTCGTTTTAACAATTGTCGTTTTTAACATAATTTACTGAATATCATAGTAAATCGAAGAAATTTTTACTAAGAGATTCCAAACTTTTGGACAATTCTTTATTCTATATGAAATATAAAATACATTTGTTTAAAAAAAAATTTTCAAAAAAAGAAAAGAAACAAAATTTTATGTATTAACACTAGTTTGTTTGTGTCGTGGTGTTGTTTGTTGTGTTCGTAAAAATTTCATACTAATTAAATCCTGTTTACAACCTGTATGACTTGCAAATGGAGAGGATTTTGGTCGATTAAGTAAATGAGAAATACCACTCTAAATTAACACAGTTTACGTTTATTTCAAACAAAACAACACAAGATAAACTAACTCTTGGATTAATTTGTAAACGAGGTTCATTGTGTACATTTGATGTACCACCATTATGATAAGGATGTACAGGACTATCTGGTGATTGAGCAAATGGTGGTTTATTATTTCCAACAAAATAAAATGCTGAAAGACGAGAATTATTCCTATTTAAAAAATATTTTTCATGAAATATTTCATATTAAGAAAAACAATTCACTTGAAAGAATTCGATGTTATACTTGTTGTATCCGATATTCCAATATTCGATTTTGAATGTACAAATAAAATATCACCTTAAAATAGAAATTTACAGTTACTTTATGCTATAGTAATTATACTTGCTTGAGGATTGATCACTATTCAAACGATATGAACTTCTTGCCCATGCGATTGCCTATTTTATATTTAAATAAAAAAAAAAACAATATAAAATCTTAAATCGATTTTTTTTCAAATAAAAATCAATTGATTAAATTGTAATGAGAATCTTTAGATATTGTAGCATTTTTTATTTTCATTTAAACAAAAATGATTTTTCTGTTTTTCAAACCTGTCCACTTGGCCTTGCTAAAATTGTTACACATTCTGGACCAGTTTCCCATCGTTTTTTTTCTTTCCATACAAATATATGTGGAAATTGAGGTTCAATATCTTTAAATGCACCACACCAAACCTTAAAATAAAGCTTTTGTTTCAAAATAATTAATTATTAGCTATTCATTATTAACCGTGATAGTTTGTCCAGCTCGAAGAATTGTACCTTGTGGAAATCGAAAACGACAAACTGGTACACAGGCAATATTTTGTTGTAAAAAATGTCCACTTAAATCATAATCATCAGAATTTGAAATATTAAGTAATCGAAGATAATCTCCATTGTTCGATTCAATTTCATGAATACGAACATTTGTTAATGCACTAATTTGAAAAAAAAGAAAAAAGAAATTCCAAAATAAAAAACTTACTTTCCCATTTTAAAACCAATATTTGGTTGAGTTGTAACTTCATTATGATGTTGTTTAAATAAATCTGGTATAAGATCAGAATTTAATTTAAAACTTTCATTTGAATTTGATATTATTGGTGTTGTTATTTGTATATTTGAATTATCGATTTCTGTTAATGGTTTTTCAAATAATTCAATATTTGATTCTTGATTTTGATCATTGAATGTATTTAACTCTTGCTTTTCATCAATACTGAAACTAACTGATTTAGGTGATTTTGCACGTGTTGATGATTGATCAGATTTTTTTAAATTTGATGAACGTTTACTTGTTGAAGAACTCGGACGATTTTCAATAGTTGAAGAATTTGTTGATGTTGAATCAAATGATGATGCTGAATATAATGATAAACGATCAGTTCGACGACTTGATGGACTATTTATTTGTTGATCTTTTGTACTTAAATTTGTTACAGATTTTGATTCAAATTCTTTCATTGACATTGATCCTGGAATTGGTTCATTATCATTATCATCATCTTCTTCATCATCCCATTCAGATTTTGTTACATCAATTGGAATTATTCTTTAAAAAAAAACAATATAATTTAACTTAAAAAAGATTGAAATTTGAAATAATAAACCGACTCATCATCATCTTGTTTTTGATCAATTGTTGCTTCATTTAAAACTGTTTTAATTGTTGTTAATTCTTCAACAATATTATCATGTGTTTTTGATACAATTGACATTAATTCATGTAATTTTTCATGAATTATTTTTACAGATGATAATTTTTCTTCCAAATTATGAACAAAATGAATTAAACGTTTTATTGAATTATAATTTAACATTGATTTATTATTTCCAAGATGAATCTGTTTCACATCCATTTCGTTTTTGTCTCTGATCAAATGACTTTTTGACGGCAAAAATGTTTTAGATGCCTGTTGAAAAATAAACAATATATATATATATAAATTGATGAATGCAAATGCAATCGTTGCACACCTTGTGAGTGGATCACTTATATGCAACGCACGAACGTGTGAAAAAAGAAATTGACAACGAGTAAATCAATCAATAATAACGACGGCAACCATCAACTTCAATCAATGAATTTATTCAAGAAAAAAAGACGAAAAAAATTTCAAAAGAAAAATGAAAAAAAAGAAAAGAAAATGATTGTTGTTTGAACTCTTTTTTTAAAATAACACTTTTTAAAATTCCGAATCAATATAATGGACAAAATAATAACATGCAATAGTTAAGTTTAAAATAACTTTTCATTTTCATCTTAGCTATAACAAGTAGTATCTGCTATTATCATTAAATTAATCCTATCGAAAGTGAATATATTTATTTAGTATTTCTTCTTAATAACTTTGAAAAGAAGAATGTATGTTCTTTATTTTATACTTGTTTTAATTATGACCTTCTATGCATATTGAATTGATATACCAAAAAAAGAATCATCATTTAACTAAGGAAGAAGAACATCTTTGCTTCAAAAGAAAATTCATTGTTATTTTATCAATTATCTATTTGACCTGCTCAAGAATAAACACAGACTATTTTTTCTTTTGATAGCTTTGGTGACATTCTTACAATGCCAACATTATATTGTATGACTTTCGTTATGATACCATATTTTTGTTAGATTAGTAGTGCTTCAACTACATTGATGCTTTCTTTTCTTTTCTTTTTTCTTTGTTATTTAACACATGATGAGTGGAGCTGAAGGAGAAGACAAAGAATCGTTGACCTAATTAACTGCTTTTGTAAGCTTTCACAATGTTTCTTATTATTATTTGATTGACTTACAATTGCGAGTAACATTATCTAATGAGTTCAAGTTTTCGTTGTTCCATAGAGAAATGCGATAGATATCTTTATACACAAGGTATATTCAGATTTATAATGTTTTGTAGGCTTATACAAAATATCGCCCAGTACTAATTATCATAAAAATTTTCAAGAATATTAAAATTAAGTTCAAAATATTTAAAATAAAATAAAATAAATATAATTTTCAATTGAGTACATAAATCTTTCAATATATTCGTTGAAATTTATTGTATAATTTACATGAATGTACAATATTCTCGATGAGAAAAATATGAAATACTCTAATATTTGGATTTTTCTGTTATTTCAAAAGCTTTTTATTTACTTACATAAATTTTGTTTTTTTTTTCATCAATAATACTCATCGAATAAAACAGCAAAGAAGGCGCTTCATACCTGTAAAGAATGTCTTTTTTTTTTCTTAGAAAAAGATTTTCAAATTTGCGAAAGATGTTCTTAGTCTTGTCTATGGCAAACACTGAATAATACAAAAAAATAGACTAAAATGAAACGATTTCAGATTATGTTATTATTAATTAAAGGTAATTTACAAGCATGTTGTCTTAAATTTTCTGTTCTTCGATGCATTTTCTCATTTAAAAATATTTTCATTTTATTTCAGTTAAGTTTATTTTTGTATGTATTTTACAAAACAATGAATGACTTATTTATCGTTATCATTTATATCAAAAAATTATAGATATAGATTAATATCCTTGCTTATGACATGTATTTTTAACTATATCAATTTTCTTTTATCATCATGATCAGTTCAGTATTCTTCTTATGTTCATGTCTTCTGTTTTATTTTTTGTTTATTATAAATGACTATAACATCTTTCACAATGATGTTATTGATCTCAAGATATTGATAATAGATGTTCATATGAATTATGATGGTCTCTTTGTAGTCAAGAACCACTGATAAAAAATTGACACATTTGAGAAGATTAAGAATTTAAAAAATCAAGAGAATAGCTTAGAAGGTCTTCTATTTAGATAAGAACAATTTTGACTCGAGAGGTAGGCATTTCATCATAGTGTGAAACTGTAAAGAATGTTTTGCTGGAGTTTTAGAACGCATTTTACGTGGATAAGATAGCTTTCAGTTTTTTTTTCATGAACATTACTCACTGGGTAACACGAAGGTACTATGATTGTAAATAAATTTTAAAAATTATCAACTTTACTTTTTTTACTCTTTGCAAATTAAAGTTTGTGAAAAATAATACTCACTAATTCATAAATATATTGCAAATCTGTTTTATTGTTATCTTACTATTGAGGTTAACCTTAAACTCTATTCAGTTACCGGTTTTTTTTGTATGTTTTAGATAAAAAAGAAAACGATTTTTAATCTTTTTATTGTATTTCTGAAATTCAGCATTTCGTTACTAGAAAGTAATTAAAGATGAGTGCGATTTTTTTCGAATGATAGCTTATATTTTGATTTTTATACATGTCTTTAATTTCAGTTCATTTTCTGATAATGATCAAATGTTCATATAAAAATGATTTGATGACATCTAAGAGAAAATACAGGAAAAACATAGATAGTTTAGTATCACATGTAATATCATTACAGTTTTTCAGACAAATATTTGGGGCATCCCAAAGGTAGTAGTGATAGTGCTTGAATATTGCATTGAAAGCTTGATGAAACTTTTTTTTCGTATCCACTAATGGTAAACAGAGTGGTCTATATTTCTGAAATATTTCATCATTCTTCAACTCATATCATAGGAAACACGATAGAAAATTGCAATTATTATCACTGAAAAGAAAAGATAAAGATGCATTAAATTTTATATTATAAGTTTTGTAATATGTTTTCTAAAGGTTTTGAAGTAATTTCCTAAAAATAACAACTGAACAATCTCTTTTTTTGTAAAGAAATGGATTGAAAAACCAAAGTTGAGGTCTGAACATTTGAATCTTTTATTCATCTGAAGATCTTCAATTGGTAGTTCGAATGTACACTTAAGTGTTGAAAAAACACTGTTAAGAACTCATGGAATAAGTTTATTTCTAAAAATATCCATTAAACACCAACCGTAATATACGAGACAATGCATTTTTATTTCTTCTCTCCAACGGTCAAAACTGCAATTCTCTATCTTATTTCTACCGAAAGTCATTCAAAACAAAATCCACTTGTTTCTTTTTTTTTTTACAAAAGTGTTATGATAAATTTTTATCGAAAGATAGACCACTGTTGTTACTACTAGTGCATATAAAAGAAAGTTGCATCAATTTTGCAATATTGTATTGACGTCTCACTACCACTACTTTTAGATTGCTTTGACTTATAGACTTTTCTCATGATAGAATCAATGTCGATCTTCGAATTTTCTTTGGATTATTCAAAGCGATCAATACATTATAGACGAAGAGACTAACTAAATACACCAAATAACATGAATACTTAAGCAAATGTGCAGCGTTTTTTATTTCGTAGAATAAAAACAAACTTGAAAATAATATTTAATCATTGAAATACTACAATTATAGATCTATTGTTTTTGGATAAATAAGCATATAGAAAAATGTTTGTGTGAATAAGACAATGATGTCGATGGCATTATTGTAGTGAAATCAATTTATTGTTCTACATTTATGAATGAAAATAAATTTTAATAATAATCATTTTTCATAACTTAATGAAAGTTTATTCTATTTAATCTTCATTCGAAAAGAAAAAAAATTTAAAATAAAATGTTCCTATTCATTAAAATTTAATTTAAATAAAAATCTTTTATCTAAAGAATCAATATTGGATGGAGATTTTTCAAGTTGTGTTAACATTAAAGCTATGTTCGTGTCTGTATCAATAGATATATATGATTCAGGAATATTTATTGATTGAAATACCACTATATCTTTTTTTATTTTACTTGTTAATAATTTAAATGTTGCATCTTGTTTAAATAAAATTGATTGATCATTTTTTCCTAATTTAATTCGTCTATTTTCATGACGCATATATGTATCACATCCTGGTACTGTTGAAATTGATATAAAAACAGTTGAACAATCATTTTCAAATGAGTTTTGATCTAAAGGATTTGTAATTAAAAATAAACTTCGATTTGTTTGTGACATTGTTATCGATGTTTGAGAAGCAGATGAATCAAGTATTAATGCTGATAAATAACGAGTTTCATTAAATGAACCAATATAAACTTTTTTATTGAAATAAATTGAACTTCGATCTAAATCAAATAATTGATTAATTTTTAGTATTAAAAAAATCGTGATAATGGCCCTAGTTTTTATGAAGTTCACATATATATTTTCTAAGAAAATAGTGCGTGTATGTGTAAACTGTGTTTTTTTTGCAGTTCTTCCTTCTAGACTTTAGTAACAGGGAAAAGATGTGACAATAACAACAGTGTTTAGATCAGTCTGAAACGTTCTAGAATCTTTGAAAGCATTGTATGAATCTAAGATTTGTACTTTGAACTCTGAATATTGCAAGTTTTCGTATTTAATACAGCAAAATGATTTTATTGTAGTTGTCAATTAGTAGAACGGACATAAAAAAGTATATTCCTGGAAAGAAAGAATGGCATGCTTGGAAGCTTACTGGCCGAATAAATCAATACATTCAGCAGGATAATATAGTGATTGAACTGACGAAACGAAGAATAAAACGATACTGACCACATCCTATGGCATGCATCGTATACATTATCATTGAGAGGACAAAGGTTCTGTATTGAAAATGTATTTGACAATACAAATAATTGTTTTCAGTATAACAAATCAAATGAATTGGTAGATTAGCAATTCGAGATGCAAACATTTTCAAAATGATAAAATTTCAGAGCTCATATATCAATTATAAAACTGCTATAATTTTGATTTATTCATTTATTCGAAATTTCTTTTAAATAAATTATTTTAATCTTTCTACCGATTAGAATTTATGAGTTTCACATTTTGATCCTCCACGAAATCTTATTGACAAGTTTTCATTTTGCTGAATAACTCTAAGTTTTTCATTATTCTTTAAAAAACAAGAGTGCTGAAAATAAAAAAGAACTGCAGGATTATTTATCAAAATTTAAATGAATGAGAACTATAAAGATTCATTGCAATATATGTTTAAATTAAATGAGAACTTACAAATTAACACTTGTTGAATGTTGAAATTAGCTATTGTTCTAAATGGCTTTGATGAAAATAAAGTAAATGTAAATGAAGAATCTACTGGATTACCAAATGGTCGAGAACGTGAGGTTAAATGTTGAATTTCTTCTGATTGACAAGCAGCATTACAATATGAAGGAAAATCAAAACCAATATACAATTCAAGATCATAATTACAAACGATTTTTTTGAATTTAGGTGAAGAACTAAAAGGAATATATTTTTTTAAAAATATCTTCAAATAAATCAATCTTATTTCATAATCATTTTCTGTTTCGTAACTTTTTTTATATTATGAAAAACTACAAAGCAATTCAATCGTCATCATAGTCTATATATGTGGTTTTGCCTACATTCGAAAGAATAATTAATACGATATGATATGAAAGACGAGCATAAGAAAAAAAAACACATATATTTGTTCGGTACTTTTTAATCTTGTTGTAATATGCTAATTTAAATTAATATTTTAATTTATAGTTCTAAAAAATGAAACTATTCAGTTAAATTCTGATCAAAAATCACTATGTTTAGTACTATACCGAGATAGTTTAAAAGAATCAATAGAAAAATCTTTCGAAGATTTTCAAAATTATATTCTTAAGTAAACTAAACATTTCTCATCAATAGAAGACTTCGGATTTTTTTATTAGATTCAAGTGTACAAAATTTGCTGAAGGAGAATTGATGTTTTGCTTTCATAAATTGTATTTGTTGTTTTTAATTTCTTTTTCGCCTAGATAAAGTCGTTAAGAAAACCTTATGATAAGAATTTTCTAACTAAAAATTTATTTATTTATTTATTTTTCTAGAAGATTGAAAGTCGAAATTTTTCATAGACATACTTTTGTTGAGTTTTATTAATTTTCGTAATTATTACATTAATTGAAATAATATTCATAGTTACATTTCGAGTAATCGTATTAAACTTTTTATTTGTCTAAACGATAAAAAAAAAATATTAAGAAACTGAATTAAAGAATTTAAGTGATATTTTGTTTTACCAAATATTCAAGGGATTGAATAGTTGCCGTTGTATTAAACATAGAATTTGGTTTACATACAGTTTCAAGAATTGTATAATCAATTCTAAAATAATTTTGATAATATTGTTTTATTGATCTCGGTGTTGAAACTGTCGATGCTTTTGGTATTAATTTTTGCATTGGTTTTGTTCTATTTATTTATTTACAATTGAAATCAAATACAAAAAATAAAAAAAAAACAAAATTGTTTTACTCTTTTGGAACAACTGGTTTTCTTAAAGTTTCTTGTTCAGCTATTTGCATAAGAGAAAATACTAAGCAAAGTGCAACACCAAAATTAAATGCGGTGACAAAAACTATTAGAAACATTCTCCGTTGCCGACGACCACATCGACTATTAAAAATTAAAAATGTGAACAAAAGCTTGTTCATACAATCTTATTGCAGCTAAAATGTGGAACTCACATATTTTTTTTTAGCTTTCTCATACTAATAGACAGTATTATTATTGTAGTCATTAGCAAATAAGCCTGTTGTGCTTATTTAATTTATGTAGCGAAGTTCTCAATGCACTGTTATAAATCTTCAATAAGCTCGTAAATACTAATATTGATTATTTTCCAAAAGTATTAATTTGATGAGTTTACGTTTTTTCTGTTGATCATATGACGATTGTGGCTAATCGATACATCATTATGAATCAATCTCGACATGTTAGATGTAAGTCTTTATCTGCGCGAAAATTAAAAATTGCACTATTTAGGAAATTTATAGAAACATTCAAGTCATTCAAATTTTGAAGAAGGCTTTGGAATGTCTAAGTCTTGTTATTAATGCTGTTCAGTACCTTTCCACTTGTTAAAAAACTGTGAGACAGAAATTTGATGTCAGCTGTCTTTGGTTTCTATGAGGAACACTCGCAAAATCTTGAATTCAAATTTTCATTAACTATACTTTTTCTCGAAAAACATAATGTGAGTTCCACAAAAAAGAATTAATAAATAATTAAGAAAACCAAAATTTACTATAAGTTCGATAGACACATTTTTATCGTAAATATTTGATAATCACAACGACTAAATCTTCGATCTAAAATGATAATATAAGAAAAAAGTAAAGTAAAATGTTATCAATACATATCATATAAATAAAATACACGCATTCATTATCTTATATGCATACGTCCATTAGATATTTCTTTTAGCAAATTACTAATATAAAAATGTCTATTAAAATCAAATCAATGATTAGTAAACCGCCTCCAGAAAAAAAAGTCATGTCTAGACAATAGTTCATCGGTCCTATTGGAAAACAATGCACTAAATAATCAATTAATTACAAAAAATACGTCATTTTTCGTAAATATTAGTTAATAATAAGTCTAAAACTACTGTTTTTTTTTTAGAAATCGCTCCGTATTTCGCTATTCACAACATTTTTTTATATACGAAAACGACAGTTTTTTTTCATGAAAAATTACCTGAAAAATATTCAATAAAATTATTAAGTAATTTTAATTAATAATTTGTTAAAAGCTAACCTCATTAAAAGACCACCTAAAAAGTTACGATGTGTGGAAACGCTATGTAAAGCCATGGTCTTTTATTCTGGACGGAGAAAATCATGCAACTACTCTTTTTTAAATAATTTATCACGTGAGGTAGTGTCAAACTTTTTCCGTATCAAATGATACATTGACGTAGCAATGTATGAAGAAAAAAAAATACCAATGAAGAATAAATTTGTATACAGTTTCAGTTAGTTAATTATCTTATTATCAATATCTTTTCATGTCTATGACTCATTTCTATTAGTAACTAACGATATTTTACTCAAAGAAGTATTATTTATTATTAATTAAAAAAAAATTGAACTAAAAGTTCTTCTGATTCTATTTTATTGAATGATAAAAACTTACCTACGTTAAATTTTTTGTTTGTATAACAAATTAGTCTAAAACAAAGTATCTGGTGCCTTATATAAGTGAAAAATGAAGTTGTATGCCATGCGTTGAAATTTGTTTAATTGTAACATCAAGGTGTACACATGAAGATGTGCATCATCGCTTCAATGTCATTTCTTCTCATTGGCGTCATATATGTTTATTGTGTTTTTCTCATGTGTAAAAACAAAAAAATACAATTGAAATACTTCTTGTTGTCTTTTCTTTTTCATTTTCACTTGAAAATTTGATTTTTGACTAAAAATATGATAATTTCTACCTTTAACAATCATATTAATTTGTTATATCGATAGGTGATCATAATTTAAAACAATATTATATATAACTGTTAGTCATTCAATGACACAAATGATTTATGGTGCGTTCTGCATGAACGATTTTTTCATTTTTTTTAAAGCATCTGTCAGGAGTACATTTCAGTAGTTTTATTTTTTTAAACAGACTTTTGTAAGAATAATATGTTTTTTATCAGTAGCAGGTATGCATCTAATTACATATATGAGGAATATTTTTCTATCACATGATCAACATACATGTGATACTACATATGTTTTGAACTTTTAGTAATATGATGTATTGAAAATAAACTCGAAATTAATAGTATTGAAGATAAAGTACATTATAGAAGCTTTATTCGAAAATGATGAAGCAAAGTTAAGCATGAGTGCATTTCAAAACATTTTTATCGTTTATCATAAGGATGTTATTAAATTTCATTAATTACATATTATAAGAAGTAATATATGTAATGCCAATGATAGAAACTGACTTGTAGTAAATCAATGCAGTTCCATCAATTTAACTTAATATTGATTGATAGTGATTTAGAGGAAAACCAAAATTTTGATCCGTTCGAATTCCGGTAACTTTTCCAGTCGGCCCTAAATTTATGCCATCAGTCATCATAAAAAAGATTATTTCTATAAATGAATATTGCAATTCATAGTGCTTAACGGAATGCATTGCCAGAACCAGAGAAAGGCAAGTCCACACAACTCAACTCTCAATTTTTTGAAATTCAACTCTGAGTTAAACTCGCCCATCTCTGTTTTGAACGCAAATTTGGATTTGCGTCCTTTAATTCTTTCGATTGAGTTTCCTAATCGATATTGAATTATTCTTTAATATCTTCTCTAAACAAATTCAAACTTTATTAGCAATTAATCCTAAAATAATATACAAAAACAAAAATTTGATACTAATCCGCTTGATTGCTATCAACTGTATTATTTAATAAAAAATAAAAAATTCTAAATTGTCAATATAAAAAACAAAAACAATTAATATATTATTTTTGACTCTTGCATATGATAATTAAAACCAGTTTGTGGTGTCATTTTAATAATTTCATTTAAAACACATTGAACAAATTCTGTTGTTGTAGTTGTACCACCAATATCTGGAGTTTTTAATTTATGTTCTTCTATTGTATTCAATACTGCTTTTTTAATTACTGAACAATGTTGATCCAATCTAGATAGAAAAAAAAACAAAGCCAATCATTTGAAATCGTCACACACAAAACAAAAAAAAATGATCTAGCATAAAAATAATCACCCTAAATATTTGAGCATATTAGCAGCAGCAAAAAGAAATCCAGAAGGATTGGCTATATTTTTTCCTGCTATACCAATACCCGTATTTCTTGTTCCTTGTTCAAATATAGCATAATGATCTCCATAATTTGATCCTGCAACAAAACCTGATCCACCAACAAGACCTGCACATATATTTGATATTATATTTCCATATAAATTAGGCATAACCATAACATCAAATTGACTTGGACGATTAACTAATTGCATACAAGTATTATCAACAATCATTGTATCAAATTTAATATTAGGATATTCACTAGCAATTTCTTGACAACATTCAATAAATAAACCATCGCTTAATTTCCTATTTAGAAACAAAAAGACGAATAAGTTTAGAATTTTTGTTGTTTTTTTTTTTCTAAATACATGATATTTGCTTTATGAACAGCAGTCACTTTTTTTCTTTCCTCATTTTTGGCTATTTCAAAAGCAAAACGAGCAATTTTAAGTGATTTTGCTCGTGTTATAACTAAAAAAAGATATATTTTTCTAGTTTTTCTTTTTTTTTTTAAATTTTTAATGAAAGTTTTATTTCATACTTTTAAGACTTTCAACAACACCAGGAACAGACTATAGAGAGAAATTTTAATGATATTTAAAATATCAAATATTTTTATACTTCATGTTCAAGTGAACTATATTCTCCTTCGGTATTTTCACGAATAACGAGAATATCAATGTTTGAATGACGTGTAGGAATAACAGGATTTGTTTTACAACGTATTACATTAGCATAAAGATCAAGATGAGTACTAATAAAATTAAAATAATTCTAGATTTAGATTAGATGTAGTTTTTAAAAAAACTCGAATCTCACCGAAGAAGAACATTTAATGATTGAGTTGTATTTTGTGATGAGATATTTCCTAAATCATAATAACCAATGAAATTCATTAGTTTTATGTGTGAGAGAGAGAGAGAGAGAGAGAGAGAGAAATACCTTTAAGAGCTACTCCATTACGTTTAACCGCTGTTATTGCACGTTCAAACATTTCATCGCTAGCTACATGACTTGATAAAGGAATATCTTCGAAATCAATTGGTGCTCGAACACATCTACTTGATTATTCTATTAAGAATAAAATGAATGAAAAAAAATAAAAGTTCTAACCGAATAGCAGCTTTAACATGTTCCATTAGTTCTGGTCCAACTCCATCGCCATGTATTAATGTCACTGTATATTTACCGCCATAAGCTGTTCTCCATGGTTTTTCTGCCTAGATAAAGTTTTAGAAAGGTTAGATTAAAATCAAAATTATAATAAGTTACAAACTTCAATAGCTACAAATCGACGACTTGATAGAAGTGATGAAAATACACAACGAGCATTAATTTTAATGACTGATTGCATTTCTCTTTTGCTTTAACGAATTAAACAATTTATTCTATCTTCATATTGTCTCAAAATAGAACAAGACTATAACAGAAAACAAGATGATACATATAATATTCTTTCCTTTTTCCGTACGTTAGAAAATAGTTGATCAATTAGAGATTGTCAAATAGATGGCGCAAAGCAACATTCAATTAGTTCTTATGAGACTATATATATCTATTTCACTAATCAAGAGTAATAACTTAAATAGTTGTATATAACTTGATTAAACCATAGATTACTAATAATCGAATGAAATTTCAATAGAATATTTCAAAAACAAAAATATTTAAAGAAAAGAAAATCTATAGAATAGTAGTTAGCAAAATTTTCAATCAATAGTAGCTATATACATATTACTGGATAGTTGAAAAATCAGAATTATTGAGAAAATGTTCAATTACTATCTTTATTAATCATTTTTTAATACTCTGCTGAAGACCAATATACTTACCATTTAGAAGCGTCATTGAGAAGTAAGTCGCGATAAATCCAATGAAATATGATGCATGTAGGATTATTCTTTTTGTTCGTCTCTAACAATTCAATTACTAAGATGTACTTTTTCATACAGAAATAAAATTGTTTACGAGCATCTTATCAATCTTTAAAGAGTTGTTGTTTTCACATAATCAATAAATAGTCCATTTATGTATTTGAGAGACTAAACATTTTTGATATCGTTTCAAAAATAAGTAAGCTTGACTTACTATGAGTTTCACTCATTAATAATACAGACACTCTTTACTATGTTACGCTAATCGCAAAAGCCAAAATTAATTCTCAAGACAACAGATAAACTAATATGAAAATATCTTATCAAAAATCTATAGTATGTTGAGCTATGAATATCTTACTTGATGATCAACATAGATACTATAGAAACGACTGTAGATATTGAATGAGTTGGGAATCATTGATATAGAATTCAATTGAATTTACACTTTAGTTACATAGATTTAATTGTGAGGTATTGACTATCGATATAATTTTACAGCATATTATCATGTAAGTAAAACAGTAAATGCAAATGTATATATATATATGTTGCTGGGTATTTCTTGGACCACAATGCGTTATCTGTCATCACTCGTTTCTCGTTTCTTTTGTTGTGTAACAGTGAGTTCTTATCATTGAGTACATAGACAACATTCGAGTCATCAAAATATGCGTTTATTTTATATGCCATGTCTTCGTTAAAAAAACAATGAAATATTATTAAAACAAAATATTCATAGATTTCAAAATAGACAAATGGATGACACTTTCGATAAAGAGCAGAAAGAAATCGATAAAAAATTAAAATGGTATGAAAATCCTGTACTGCAAGCGAATAATTCTTCTTCAGAAATAATAATAAAATATTGTACATGGCTTAGTTCTCTATGGAATGGACTTTTAATCATTGTACTAGTGCCTATTATTGTGATCACATCTATTTTATTTCTTCTTCTGTGGATTCTTCCTGGATTTGGTTCGTTCTATGAACACTATGCCGAAGCTCGTGATCGAAAGAAATACTATCCACCTAGAGAAGAAATGAAACCTTGGGGTCCTGATAATACTCTTATACATGTAGTACATCTTTGTGCATTAGAATCAAAGCTTCCGCCAATTGTCTATGTCAGTGGCTTGGGTACGAGTATGTATGTTGTCAAGCCACTGCTTCTCAAATTTGTCGAATATATGAACGAGTCTATTGAAATAATCTCATTTGATTCTCCTGGATACGGTGCTTCTGAACCGCCTACTGATTGGAATACACAAAATGCAGCAAGTGAACTTTCATTATTACAACAAGTAATTGAAAATTCGAGAGTTCGCAAACCATTTATTCTGTTTGGTGCATCAGCTGGTGCTTCACTAGCACAACTCTATCGATTGACATATCCAGAAGATGTTGCAGGTATTATCTTATTTGATCCAACTCCATCCAATGTATTCGAACCAGGAAGTCCAATGGCAACCGATTTTAATCGTGCATTTTCCTTATATAGTAAAATGGCTCGTCTTGCTTCCTGGGGATTGATGAGACCACTTGCACCCTTAATACGTTATTGTATATCGGGCGAATTTGGTGATATTTTTCGTCATTTACCTCATAGTCACGTTGCTCTATTCATGACAAAAACTGTGTTACTCAAGACTGGAAATCATTTTCGCTACTGGCATACCATTATGGATTATATAACACAATTACAGAACGATGTTACAATTCAAAGAAATACACCTTTGCTAGTTGTTAGTGCACTGAATTGGACTAAAAATCGACCACACGGTGGTCTGACTAGAGAAGAAATGCGTCAATGGTGGCGTGATAATCAACAGCCATTCGTTCACAGTTCTGATAATGCTGGTTTTATTCCTCGTACAGATTACACTCATACTCAGTGTATGTTGGATATGGAACTAGCGGCTAATGCGACAAAAGCTATCTTAACACAGATTTGATAATAAGCGTGTTTAATTATAATCATTGTAAATTGTTCATTGATTTACTTGTTGTCTTTAATTAGGACTAAGAACAATTAAATAGACATAAGACGTTCGAGGTTTCATGAACAACGAATAAGACTTAAAGCTTAAAATCGGTATCAGAAAACAGAATGATGCTCATTTTTCCTACAATGTACTATGAACTCAGCGGATTTTGTCTTTCACTGGTTTTGTTTGTATTTCTATTAATATACATCTGTCCATAGCTTATACTAATCTTTTTCTTTTTCTTATTTGTTTATTTATCAAAATTGAGACTCTTTTCATCACTATGTACGTATGTTTCGTCTGAATAAAGAATAAATCAACATTGCATTCATTTTGAACACAAGAAATTACTATTACACATTGTAAAACTGGTAAAACATGGAATTTGTGCATAGTATGCGCGGGCTTAATGATAAACCTATGAATTTCTTGCATTATAATTCAAATGTGAACGCATATTATAGAACAAAAAAACATTACTTTTTCCAGTACAGCTTTTAATTATTAATATAGATTGCAAGTCGATAGATAAAATAAGAAATAAGAAAAAAAAACATAGAATCAAAAGACTTCCACACACGGTAGTAATCTATTTGATTTATCTCTATATAATAATTTTTCGCAATAGTAACAATCGAGTTTTTTTTTTCATATCTAAATACAAAGAAATATGGCTTGTTAATTTTTGTATATCATCAAAGGTTATTTACAATTAAATTTTCTAACAGAAAAAAAGAGGCGCTTTTGAGATCCTAAATTATTATTTAAAACAAAATGATATTTCTTTCTTTGATAACTTAATAATAATAATAATAATAATGTTTCGACGTTTATTTGGGGAATCAAAATCAAAAGATAATAGTCATCTGTTTTCATCTTCTGGATCTCGTACACGTGATGTTGACGATCAACATCAAGATACTCTTCGAACAATTAATCATTTACAACAAAGTGAAGATTTAATGGATAAAAAATTAGAAAAATTTGATGAAGAAATTGCTGATGTACAAAATAAAGCTCGTCAATGTTTAAAAAAAACAAATCCAGATCGTGTAGGTGCAATACGTTTTATTAAACGACGAAAACAACTTGAACAACAAAGAGAAAAATTATGGAAAATGAAACAAAATATTGAATTAGTTAATGAACAAGTTCAAGCATCACATTTTAATCGACAAGTAACCGATAGTTTAAATATTGGTCATCAACATTTAAAACGTGCACAAAAATCAATGACAACAAAAAAAATTGAACAAATTATTGATAATATTACTGAACAAATTGATATTTCCAATGATATTAATGATTTATTAGCAACACCGATAGCAACAAATGATTTAATTACAACTGATTTAGATCTTGAAAATGAATTAAATTCTTTAAATAATGAAATTCTTGCTGAAAATATGATTCAAATTAATTTACCAACTGCTCATTCAGGGCCAATTAAGCTATCCAATGAACATGAATCATCATCAATGAATGATATTGATAAACAATTAGCAGAATTACAACGTCTTACAACAGGATAGACTTTTTTTTTAGTAAATTCATTCTCAAATCTTGCTTTTGTTCATAGCAATTGTCGATTGGTAAATGTCAATACTGAGAATTTTTCTATTTTTCTAATTTCTGCCAAACCTTGGTAATTATGCTTCTCGCTTATGCTCATTTAACAGCAGTTTCAAATGAATAGGAATTTTAAGATCCTTCTTAGCCGTATATTGCTTGAAGTTTTTTTTGAAGTACGATCTTTCAGATATTCAAGTTACAGTATTGCGCTAACAGTCTTTTTTTAAAGAAAACAATTAAATCGATAAATGTTAATTTTATTATGTGATGTTGAACAGGTCAATGACAATTAATATACATAAGAAAAAAAAACACGAAAAAATGTTTTACAGAATAATATTTCTTTGTAAGTTAAATAGAAAACACTTGACGAGACACGAACATTTATTTGAACAAAAACAAAATAAATGAGATGAGACAATCAAAAAAAGAAAAAGGAATGCATTGTCATCATTTTAAATTTCGTTTCTTTCCAGATCGTTATGATGCCCATCTTTCTAATTCGGCCAATTGATCACTCTTTGCTTTGTTAGATGATGCACTTGCTGGTTGACTATAAGCTGGAATAGGATGAGCCGGAACTGATGGTAATGGAATTTGACGCAAATCATTTGCAAGAGCTTCTTGTTCTAATTGTGCTAATTCATCTTCAAGTTCACGTTCATCTATGTCAGCACCAAAACCTAAACAAAATTCAAATTAAATAAAAACAAACAACAATCTGAATGCTTGTTCATACCAACAGGACTTGAAATAGCATTAGCAATTTCATTAGATAATTCATGTTGTTCAGCTAATTCATCCATTATATCTTGAACACTATCAACATCAAGTTCTTTATGAACATTTTTTAATGCACTTGTTGCACCTTGAAGTGCAGTAAATGCTTGACCATTCATAGCTGCATTCTAAATTCAATTAAAATTATTAAACTAAAAAAAAAAAATGTTCTCTTGAACAAATAAAAGTTTACTTGTAAAGCTTCACGTTGATATTCAAGTGTTGTTAATGTTCCATCGATTTGTTGTAGAGTTTTTTCTAAACGTTTTTTTCTCTTCAGAGCATTTAATGCATTCCGTTTATTTGTTCTTGCATCACGACGAGCAATTGCTGTTTCTTCATTAATTTTTGCTTCTAAATGTTCAACTTTTTTATTAAGAACATCTTCAACATCACGTAACTGTTGTATTGCTTCTTGTGGTGTTTGTGCTGTTTTCATTTTAGCACCACCTTTTGATGAACCACCAAACATACGAGATAAAACACCACCTTTATTATTACCACTCATTGCAAAGATATATCCCAAAATATTGATATTTCAGATGCTTATGAATAATTGACGTCGGACGTCAGAAGAATGAGTTATTTGATAAACAACAACAAATGATTTATATAAAGTTAACTGATGAATTTGTCATTCGAATTATTCTAGTATCATGACTAACCATTCTTTTTTTTTATTCGATGAAATTTTTCTATGGAGAAAAATGACATTGAAATAGATGTCACCTGAATACGGATACATAAACTTTCGTATTGAATATTGACTGGTTTCTTAACAGTTATAAGAAAAAGAAACATATTTTAAGATCGAAAAGGCATAATCGTAAACCCACGTAGAAAAATCCTTACTTTTTAAAAATTATATATGCACCTTGTGAGCTCACAAAAGTTTTTTTCTGCATCCATCCCATTTCACGTACTTTTTTCTCTCAGTCACATTAGTGACTTCTCTAAAAAAGACGGTCATCGTATGCTAAGCTGCACTTATCGAGTACATATCTGTTACATTTTGAATTCAGCAAATAATTCAATAGTCAGTATTTATTTTTGTATAGATTAATTCGACCAAATAATCGAACAGTAATTATTTCTTATAATTAAAGAAATAATGTTTCACGTGTTTCTAGACGAGCGGAAAGGCAACTGGTCCTTCTCTTGCATGAAAAAAGCATGTGAATATGAGTATAATTCGAGAGAAGATCTATACTCATACCTACATACTTCGATACATTGTCAATATTCATATTGGTAAAAATCAAGTCTCCTCTTGAAAAATCTTAATCAGGTTAGAGTGGAATCTTTGAATTATGTTTTAGGTCTTCAAAATGGAAAAGGACAGTGCTTCATTCTTTATGGATCACTCATTATATATATATATATATTGATATTTTCAGCACATGGATGTGGATAAACAAGAGATAAAAAGAAACACAACTGAGAATGAAATCGATGTCATCAAGCGCAAACTGGAATTTTCCAGAAAATACATGAACAAAGAAATCTACATCTTGTTTTCTTAATTTGATTATATTGATAGGCAAAGCTTCACATAAATGCAAACTGCAAACTATCTTACGTTTAATCAAAACTTTTGCGTGTTACCACAAAGAAGAATAATAAACATTTGGAAGTCCCTTATTTCACATCATATATTGCAGAAGAACTCGGTTACTGTTTTTTTTTCACCCTTTTTTAATTTTAATGTTGATTTATTGGTCAAAGTAGATATTCCATAAGATTTGGCGAAGATATCTGTTTAATATTGCTCGTGTTAATAATTTTCGTCACCGCTAAATTAGAAGAAGTGTCTCACGAAAATAAATTGAATTTCGTGAAGGATTACAGAATTGACCGTGTTTTAGTGCATCTTCTACATGCTATGAGTGTCAATCGCCATACTATAATCTAATATCAACTCGAATTCATAGACACAAATAGAGACGTCTCGTGTCAGACAATAGTCAACTGTTACGCTTTGAGCTACCTGCAGAGAAGCTTCTGCACAGAGCAAAAGATTCAGTAGGTATTATGTTAAAATATCAATACAAGTGATTCTAGTAGTTTTCAATTGAAAAATTGTTTTAAATATCATATACGACTAATTATATGCAATGCTGCAGGATAGCAAACGTTTTTTTATGAGATAACGAAACAGAACTATAGCACTCTCATGGTATATATTCTGTACGTTTTTTCTTTCAACTACATGTATCACTCACCACATGCACCTCCATTGAGTAAAATCGAAAAATTATCGCATCACAACGTAGAAAATATCGAAATCGAGTCAAAGTTTTCGTATATATAGGAACAAAGAGCTAAAAAAGTCAAGAATTAACTTCCTAGTGTTGTAATCTGGTACGAAACATATCACTAACATTATGCGACTCTAATAAACTTCACTAGTGTGACAAATCTTGCCAAAAATTGAAGAGACAGCATCATATCGCTCAATACAGCAAAATTGAAAATCTCATTCATGAGTATGTACGAATGATTTCTTATTCAATTAGAACAAATAGCATGAGATGATGAATAAAGTGGCTCATGACGTGAGCTTTTTGTTGAATGTAAAGCAGAGCTACAAGTTCTACTAGAAAATAGATATTTCA